TGATATCGTAGCGCAGAGGGATTGCGATATTTCATTGGTTGCGCCAGCTATTAATTATCTACATATTGAAGGAGATAGCCAAAACCGGACTTCATCGATAGATCTTGGGAACAATGCTTTAAATCAATTATATGCGTTGATAAGAAGTGATATAAGACGACTTGAAGATAGAATGGATAGAATGGATCGGAGGCTCGATAGAATGGATGGGAGGCTCGATAGAATGGATCGTCTCACAGATAGCCAGAGAGGGATGGTTAAAAATGGTTTGTTAGCTGCAGGTGGTAGTGAGGACTCTGGAAACTCATATAAGCCTATTTGCAATGATAACGGAGAGTATCCCGGAGAAACCAGCTACATTCAAGAAATAATATCTCTTGACCAAATAAATTCAATGACTAGCAGTACCTTGGATTTGTATTTAAATTTTTATAACCTAGGAAGGAATCGATTAATCGCAGAAAAGAAAGGTAAGCTTATTAGATTTTTGGGAATCAATGAAAGGGTAATGATCACTCAGAAAACAACCCATGGTGCAACCCCTTGCTAAACATTCCATCTATTTGATTGAGCCGGAATGAACCGTTTTCTTTTCATACCAAAAGATTGTCCAGCTATAGAGAATACGACAAGGTTTTGAGCGAACCTGGGTATAATCAAGAGAACCACTAAAAAAGAAAATAGGAATTAAATTCGATAAAAATAAACTTTGCTATCACCAAGTTTGGAGACACATATCGGTAAGACATATCAGTAAGACATATCGGTAAGACATATCGGTAAGACATATCCAGTGATAGGTGAAACTTATTATCGACAGCTGAGCAGCTTGAGGCGATTTATCATGAGCAGTAGTAATTGTTTTGTCGAAAGTATATCTGTTCAGACAACCTCTCGTCGATACTGTTAACAAGAATTATATTCTAAAATGATGCAAATAGATGATAGCTTTATTTCGTCGTAAACCTTATCTTACCGGTGCAGTCCTAGATACAAAATTGAATTTGGCACTATTTCTCGCCTATCGAAGAATAGTTTAGACCATCAAAGCTCAGCAAATCCCTCAGAAAATATGAGTTTGCTGCTTCTTTCATAAGCCTATTGATGAAAATTGAGGATCGTCTATTGATACATGCTTTACTCATGAGAAAGGAAGATTAATTTTTTCTCGTCGTACTTAAAAAGTAAAGAGTTCTTTCTTGATATAAATGAACCAAAGAGGAATGATAATAAAGTTACACAGCACAGATCGCTTTTAATCATTTTCTGTTTTTAAGCCATAGTGTGTTCTCAAAAGCTGAGGTAACATTGGTATAATCGATGGATACAAGTATAACGTTCAATTAAACGCTAAAGCGCAGAAAATTTCTTCTTCGATCTCATTTTGTAATATTATCTATTGTCTATTGTCTATATAACTAACACCCTTCATAGGTATGCATAGCCACCTATCGTGAAGTCTGGCGAAAAACCCTATACTATAGTTGTCGGCATTTGACATACTGCTCGGACAATCCACATTTACTTTTATTTGCTTCAACACAAATCAGGTAGGTCTCCTTCCTTCAGTAGTACGCCTATCATTTATCGGCTCCTCATTTACGACATTGGGTCTTCTTAAATACTCCTGATAAGTTTCAGAACTAAACATATTGCTATACTGAAAATTCACGTCCTCCTCCGTGATATTTCTTGCAATGCACATCATCTTATCGAATCCCTTGATCGCTTCGATAGGCTCTTTCTTATAATACCTTTGATACCTCTCATCAAATTCACTAATCAATGTATTATACTTATCTACCATCTGCATCGTATTCTGGAATACGTAGTTAGTCTTGAGCCTCTTCTCTAATTTAAAATTCACTTCTGCTAAGATCTCATTCATCTTTGCATCTCTTTTAAACTGATCTACCTCCCTAAGAGGCCTCTTCTCAATGAATTGAGGAACGAGTATATTAGCAATAACTTTGTTAAATCTTTCATCCACAATGATTGTCTTAGCCAAGGCAAAGATTAAGTCAGCAGCTGCAATGCAAAAGGCTGCATATATTATAACAATTGGATTGACGTGCTCTTCAATATAAAAGTCTGCAAGCCCAGTTAGAAGAAGGCTTGCTAGATCAAGTTTCCAGTGTAATTGCTGTATGACATATATCATTATAAGATCTTATTTATAAAGTTTTCAGTTAGAAGAGTTCGACAAAGGGCATTTTCTATAAACTTACATCACGTGCTAAAGAACGTGAGAGTACTCGCTTATCTGAACTTATATTTATCTATGGATAGTTTGACATAAGAGAAGGGCCCAAGAATTGTCATTAACTATGAAATACTTGACGATGTTTTTTCCATTCTTTATGAAGCACCCAGTGATAGTTACATTAATAACTTACTTGATTGTGGCAATGGTTTCTTATATTCCTCTGCTGCGTGACGATTCGATTGGCATTTGCGTTATAGGGTTTGTATTTACTCCCCTTATCGCAGGGGGTCTTTACTTATTTGGATGTGAGTCTATATTTGAGAATATCAGAGAGCATTTGATTTTCACGTATATATCTGAGAGACCGAAGAGTGAAGATGATGAGAGTTGGAACACAATATTATTCGAAATTAACCGACTTGTTGAGAAGAATTTTAAAATTAGAGAATTTTACTCCATACATAATCTTTGGAGTAGAGTGAATACTGTGATTGATTCCTTTAAACCCGAAGAGGAGGTGAGTGGATGGAATAAGGTTCTACTGGGTGCTAAAAAGGTCCGTGACGAGGGCCGAAGAATTCACGATCAGGAGTATGAGGATAGGTTACCTCCAGATGTAATACGGATGCTTGATATTGATGAAAATGCAAACGATTTTCAAGATAAAAGGAACTCAGAAGACCCCGATTTTAGCTCATGAAAGAGTACACCTCATTATTGGAGTTCGGATCATATGCATATTCTTCTCCGAACCCTGGGTTCTGCTGTATTCGGAGTCAAGTGGTCCTACTACATTTATAGATCAAATATACACTAAAGAATATAATGCCGTGGTCCAATCATAGACTTTCCCTTTTCTCTTTAAATTTAAGCTTCTAGAATTTTTTGATATGTTATGTGAGAGAAACCCTATAGCTCAAGTATATCAGTCTTAGATGATGTCGCTCCGAAAACCAAGATTTAAACTGCAGTGTCGAGATTTTACTAGATTTAGACTTAAAATATTCAGAATGTGACATAAATGTAGATCGACACTTCCACTTTCCATAGTCAAATACAAGCTAACTACAACTTGGACAATGCTTTCTGGTCATTTTTCCATCATATCATACTTAATCTGTTCTCTTCCTGCTCTTACGTTTTATAGTAGTTTATGGCTTTAAGATCCCCATCGCCCTCTTTAAATAGATTTTTATCACCTAATATGTCTACAATATGCTCAAGGTTCGACATCGACACTATGTATAGCATGTCACGTCTTTACACATGATGTCTTCCTTCTAAAATAATTACTAATACACATTTGATGATTCAGGTATATAGGTATAATTGAAAAGATTATAAAAACTCCGATAAAGTTGTGAATAAGATCAAGAATAGAGATTAAAAACCTAGAAACCAGATTTTCATAGAATTAAATATGTCAGCCAATACATCGGTGCCAACTTCTAAAGCTGTGCCTTACTATTTGCCGCAACCTGATACTCCTGCTGGCACAGCATTCCATCCTCAGCCGAATGGTGCAGCACTTCCAAAGGTTTTTCAGCCATTGAAGGTTAAAAACGTTACATTTCAAAATAGAATCCAAGTTTCTCCAATGTGTATGTACTCTGCAAATGATAACCTTGAAGCAACTCCGTTCCACTTAATCCATTATGGAAGTTTTTTATCCAAGGGACCCGGGCTAACCATCGTTGAATCGACTGCAGTCTTACATGAAGGAGCTTTGTCACCTCATGACTTGGGATTATGGACTGATGAGCAGGCTACAAAGTTGAAAGAAATTGTTGACTATTCCCATGCTCAAAAGCAATCAATAGCTATTCAATTGGGGCACGGTGGTAGAAAAGCCAGTGGTCAGCCACTTTGGGTTCATTTGGAGCAAATAGCAGATGAGTCAGTAGGTGGATGGCCAAACGATGTCGTTGCACCGAGTGCAATTAAATTTAGACCCAAAGGCAACTATTTAACGCCAAAGGAAATGAGTAAGGATGAGATAAAGAGAACAGTGAAAGCTTTCGGTTTAGCCGCAAAGAGAGCCGTAGAGATAGCTGGTTTTGATGCAGTAGAGATACATGGTGCTCACGGCTATCTAATTAATGAATTTTTGAGTAGTATATCAAACAAGAGGACCGACGAATATGGTGGTTCATTTGAGAATAGACTTAGGTTCTTGAGTGAAGTTATTGACGAGATTAAATCAAGTATCTCAAAAGATGTGCTTCTCATGCTTAGAATTTCTGCTAGCGATAACGCTGAAAGCGATCCCGAGTCTTGGAAAGTAGAAGATTCGAAGAAGTTGGCGAAAATTGTCGCTGAAAAGGGCATCGATATCATTGACATCTCATCCGGGGGTAATGACTACAAACAGGATAGAAGGGGGACTGTTGCCTTTAATGCAGAGCTTGCTCGTGAAGTGAAAAAAGCTGTGGGTGATTCCGCTATTATTTCTTGTGTTGGTGGATTAAATGATCCAAAGGAAACGAATAGAATGATCGAGGAAGGTTATTTCGACCTTGTTGCAATTGGGAAAGGGTTCTTGAAATCTCCTAGCTTAGTCTGGGAGTGGGCAGATGAATTGAATGTCAAGATTCACCAAATTCCTGAATATTTCTGGCCATTCTATCCTAAAAGGGAGGGCATAGTGGAACTCATTAAAAGACAAGATGCAAATCCTTAGATTGAAGTAGATACAACATATATTTATATAAGTAAAACTATGTGCGATTTATGATACTCATTCTTCATCAAGAGCGTCTCTCAACCCTAGCAATGCATAATAAGTTCCTATTGAAATCAAACAAACTTTGGTAAAAGGCTTGCCAAATTGACGATATATATTGCTCTTCGAAAGTTAGTAAATCTTGCTTGCTTGTATGTATCTCTGTCTCCTGTTACTTACGTGCTTATTTTCCTTTTGGTTATTCATTCCCTCCTCTTCTTGGTCGTTTCTCTGTTGTTTTCGCTCGTCTTGTTCTTTAGTCTCTTTGGTCTCTTTGGTGGGGATGCTTGGGTGATTAGAATACGCTCTTCGGTAGTTTTGAGGCAATGTACGGGGACCTACTCCCATGTACATGGCTTTGAATGAACAGTAGGCATATCTATTGGTATATTTATATACAACTTGATTCATTTTATGGGTAAGTGCCATTATTGCCTGATATTATAGATTTACCTGTAGCCTGCACGAAAATTTACAGGAGGCATCACTAATACGGTGAGAGTATTTCAAGAGTCACTGGGCCGGGCCAAGATGAGCGAAGATCTTGTGGCGAAGTGTGGCGAAGTGTAGCGAGTCTCTTCAACTACGTTAGTAGAGTTCGCTCCTGACTTCTGCGGTACAATTACGAAAGAAGCTGAGATATATAAATTCACTTGGTTCAGGTTAGCACTGAGCTGTTAACAAAGTAGGGACTTAGGGCAAGTAGTAGAGATGAAAAAAAAAAACTCGGCTAACAAAAACCTTTCCTTCACTCCGATGATAAGCCCTTCGGTGGCTGTGGAAGATAGAAGCTTGTCCAAGAACTATAAAGTGCCCTGAATTAAGTATCACTGCCCCTTCGGACCTCTCCCTAATATTTGCCGATCCTCGAATGGTTTATCCCTCGCTACAATGGATCTCAAGCATAATAGTTAAACGGGACTTACCTATCTGACTGAGCACAATTGACGGGATCATATAATAATCCAGGCGTCTTGGCGATGACTAAATCTACTCATATTCTGCACAACCAAGTCTGTAGTCGTACGATCCAGCTATTTGCACATGGGCTATTGTCGTTCCCAAATTTGGAAAAATATTGGCTCCTTGGGTGCGAAAGATGGTTCTGCCCCTTATTATTACAAACAAAGGTAACAAGTGGCTCTGCTCTATCTTTGTCTCTCTCCTCATATCTCTACTTTGTTGCTGTTTTCTTTTTACATCGTCTATCGCTAACCTCAACACGTTCTTTTGAAGTCCTCGTCTTTCTGCTAGCTACGTCAGACGATTTCAGTTCCATATCTGCGTCATTTGATCGGCGATTCTAACGCTATTATTACCTATATACCCTCAAATAAAGACTATCTTAGGTATGTTTGCGCCCCTCTTCGCTGTCATTGACCTCTTCTAACGTATCTCTATGTTTGGCATTCACTACAATACCGTCTTTAACAATAGAGCAAAGAAATCACTATACAGTAACAGATAGCAAGCTGAAGGCACGCAGAAGACAAGATAAGCATGTACTATGCACTTTACTAACCTGGACGTTACGTTATTCGTATGGTGATCTAGCCTGTCAATTTTAACCAATCACGAGTAGAAGAGGTTTACCTCTCATGCCAATGAACATGGGATGATTAACTGCTACCAAGACTTTACCAAGAGCTAAGATAGGGGACTGGTGACGTTATAGTGGACTTTTTTGGTGACACTCCCCCTAGTCGTGGCACTGTGTATAGTAGTGGCTGGGAAACGTATCTGCTTGACAATTTGATCTAGTCCCAGGGCACATTCAGCTTACATACTCTCAAGTGAACTTGAACCCTTTTTAGTATTGTATTTCAGAACACACACCTAACTTCATTGAATAAAAGATTTTAATACTTCTTTTTTATCTTCTTATTCTTGTTCTTCTTCTTCTTAACATTCTTCTACTTCTTCGTTTTCTATAAGCTCATTAGGCAGTCCCTACTCCTTGTGGGCCAAATAGGCGGAAAAGGCAAAGATGTTGCCCCATATGATTCCATTCGCCGTCAATGGCTTCGCTAATGGTCAAAGACAGCTGTTACCTCCGTTATTCAAATCAGAACCAATTACAATTCAACAATCAGGGCATATAGATCAAGAGTTATCTCCAGTGTTGTACCAACAGCTGCAACCGTTTCCTATGACGCATACGCAGCAGTATGGGAGCATACAACAGCCTATGATTCCACTGGGAGAGCATTACGGAGGCTACAACCAGCAGGTCTATAGCCAACAGAAACCCGGATATTCACATATCCACTACAATTCTAAGAGAAAGACTAAATCGTTGCCCATGATAGGCAAGTTCCATTCCAACCAGATTATTACATCTAATCATTCTGGGATTGGACCACAATTGACTGCACTGGTCACTAATTCCAATAGATCTAGTGGTTCTTCAGAGCATAGGTCTTCACGGAAGATGGGGCTGACAGGGGGATTAGGATCTAGTGCGTCAGGGGGGTCAGGGGAGTCAGGGGGGTCAGCTAGTGGACCCAATGACACTCTGAAGATAAACTATCCTATTCAGAAATTGACTCCTACCACTCTGTCATTTATTCCTATTGACAAGTTCAACTTATTGAAAGAAATCATATATCCTCTGGTAGAAATTAAGAGGTACACCACTTCCACTATAGATCCAACAAGGCATTACTTAACTGTTTTCCAGTATCCAATCAACAACCATTGGGTTATTTGGGACTATGAAACTGGCTTTGTTCATTTGACCGGTGTATGGAAGGCTTCAATGAGTGCTGACTATATAAAAAGCCATGCAAAGGCTGATATAGTGAAGTTATTAGAGTCAACTCCAAGACAGTATCATCAACATATTAAGAGAATTAGAGGTGGGTTCTTGAAGATTCAAGGAACATGGTTGCCCTTCGATTTGTGCCGAATCTTGGCGAGAAGATTCTGTTATCATATTAGGTACGAGTTAATCCCACTATTTGGAATTGATTTCCCAGATTACTGTCTAAATCCGAATGATAAGGGATTTGGGGAATTGAGGCTCGATGAGGCTACTGGTGTCGCTGTTGCTGTACCTGAAGAGAGCACTTTCAATGCACTGGAGCCACGGATTATCCTTGACTCTAATGTGAGTGGTCTTGCTACTGCTGGCCATAGCAAGATTAAAAAGCATTCGAAAGCTAATAAGAATAGCCGGAAACATGAGAAGAGAAATAAGCTATTACTGGGCGAAAAGGAGAATCATGTCTTAGCTCAAACATCGCTTCCTCTGTTGGCACCGCCTCTTGTGCCTTCAGTCGCAACTCCGGCCACAAGTCCCACCCAGTTCAATGACTCTATTGGGGGCTTTATCGTTGCTACACCCAATACAAAGCCACGTATGCTTGAACCCGCTACTCCTTTAAACCGGCTAACCTCCAATATCAGTCCCTCGTCCAATTCTAGGCATATGTCTTATAGTGACATGGTTGATATAGTCAATGCCTCTAAGTGTCTACAATCACTCAGCAACTCAAATCAAGTTTCCCCTATTTCAGTCGATGAAAATAATCGTAATTCATTGAGGCAAAACAACTACATTGCAACTTCTGATTCCTCAAATCGCTCTATCAATGATAGCTCAGATGGAATACTGTCTATTTTGCTTGCTGCTGGAGTTAGCGACGACTCTCCTGTTCGAAATGGAGCCGAACACAAGCAAAGTACAAGAGTCAGTGTGAGTATAAATGATTTATTAACTTAGCTGCCGTGCACATTTCGATTTACCAGCCTCTGTAATATCAATTCCACGGCAAACAGAGTATTTATTATTTCATTCTACTTCTTTTTCGCTACCTTTTACTTATACTATACCCTGAGCAGCCAGCTGAAGGGATATATTTCTTTAGTTCTATTTTTATTTACGTACCACCGGTTATATTTAGTGATTTCTTCCTTTCTATGGGTATAATGAGATTTATGATGTTATAGTGATCATTGTAGGGTATTCTAGAGAGTAGGCTCTGAAAAATTATGAGGTCGACATCGATAGTAACACTAAACCGAATTTTATCTTCCATATAATAAGCAAAAAGAGACGTTGAATGAAGAAGGTTGATAGAGTGGAACGATGGACTTCATAGATCTTGACTCATTTCTGGAGACTGTTGATTTGCCGCAACCTCAACCTGCTTTGTCTCTACCTATATCGTCTAACATTGAAAATTTAGGCAAAAGATTTACGTCGTTCAATAGTTTAACGAAGAACTTTCTTAATTTTGACGAAAAAGAGACAGAAGAAGAAGGCATTGAGGTAAACAATGATGACCTTGATAATTATAATGGTGAAAATTTAGCAGAAAAGTATGCTAACTTGTCCTTGGGGGTAATAGAAAAGGAGTCCAATGAAGATGAATCAGCAGACGTGGCTGAGGAAGATGGAGTGCCTAAATCTAGCAGTTTATCTATCAGACTTTCTAGAGTACTTAACAATTCACTCAGCGATTCTCAGCTTAGAGAGCTCTTCATCAATTTGGAGGAAGAATTCCCGGGAACTGCGGAGGAGATAGATGAGCTTATTGAACCTGGGGTCGTTGGGTCGATGGCTAGAAAGAAACTACGTGGAAGATTGGAGAGTAGTCTTTTGGATAACAAGAGTAAGATTTTGAAAGAATATCAGCCTGCAGTCGAACTATTTAAGTCATTTGAAGAGAAATTGAAGAGTCTAAACAGTTTGAATAATCTTACGAATGAAAAGATCAACAAGAACTATGAAAGTTCTAAAAGTTTTAATGTCGAAGTTAAGGAGCTTGATAGACAAAGAAAGATTATTAGCTTGAAAAAAAGCCTTCTAGTCAATTTTGGAAAACAGTTTTCTCTTAACGAATATGAAGAATATGTATTGAAGAGTGGTGATATCAATGATGAATTCTTTTCAACATTAAAAAAAGCAGAGCAGGTCAACGAAAACTGTTCAATATTACTTTCAGTTGATAACACTCAACTTGGAGTTAAGGTGATGTCTAAAATCAATCAACTGATAGATAAGGCTGTGGAAAGAATTGTAACATATACTAATAGAACTTTGAGCAATCTTTATTCTTTAAACACTAAACTGAGAACAGTGACTTTACATAAATGCTTAAAATACCTCAAGGGGAGATTGAATTACTTCAATGTTGTTGTCGATAACTTCACGAAGTCCAGGGCTAAACAGCTAGTGGAGGAATTCATGAATCAGGTTAATGGAAATTTGGAACTATCATCTGGTGATAACTTTTCGAGCTATGATTCTCCTAGACCTATATTTGTGGCATCTCATGATCCGGTACGTTTTATTGGAGACCTATTGGCATACGTTCATTCAGTAGTGGTTAATGAATCTGAGACAATCATCAGCATATTCACCATTGATGATCTTGGTGGCGATCAAGAGCAAGAAGAATTCAAGGATATAATCGGAGAGATTGTTGAAAATACTCTAAAATCGTTATCTAGACCAATCAAATCAAGGGTCGAACAAACTATTTCGTCAGAAACCAAATTGGCAACAATATATTCGATTGACAATTTATTGGAGCTCTACTTTTTCATGCTCTCTAAGCAATTGAAAAATACTAGTGCAATACTCGCTTCGATCAACGAATTGGTTGGTTTGACTCAAGACAAAATTATCAATACTATCGGCAATAGGTTGGCAACGATTGAGGCAAGTAACCTGGCTCAATTAGAGTTGAATTTGGACTTGCAGCCGCCAGAATGGACAATGGAATTCTATTCTGAAATCATACCATTAATCGAACAGTCGACCACGGACACGTTACTCAACTTTCCTCCTGATAGTAATCAAAAATTGATAAAATTAATAGTTGACCGTCCAATTGGAATATTCTATCATCATGTTGAGAGCAACAAGCTCTTTGGAAATAAGAGGGACTCTTTGATAATCAAGGAGAACTTCTTAGATTTCGTTATTTCGAGAATAATGCCACTTGCTCAATTTAATGATAAAGTTTTGGAAATTAGTGAAACGATGGACAAATTGACAGAAGAACTAACAGATCTTCAATTTACTAATATTATTAAAGAATGCGGTATTTACGATCTCTATAACGTCATTTGCATGATTTGCCCTCTTACGGATGACTTCTTTGATGTTTCCATTTATGAGCCAATAACCCAAAATAAATTGTTCACCAAAGATAAAATAGATGAGATAAATCAAATTGTTCAGGAATTTTTGCCAAACGCATTAATAAAGGTCCAGGACTCATTAATGAAGGTAAATTCACCTCTTGTGGTGAATAATGTGACTTCTGAGTCATCCATGAGGTTCACTAAATTCTATAAATGCTTTAATTTGATATCAGAGGAATACTTACAGACCCTGTTGACATGGTCTGTTATGGAAGTTGCGACATTATTAGGAGTTGAAGAAGATTTCTTGAGATCTGAGGATCAATTGAAGTTGGAGTCATGAAATATTTCATCTTTATGCATATATACGTTATAATGTATGGCTGGGAATTTTTCCTCTACCGTATCCATCTTTTGAATAGTAATCCATAGGATAATAGTCTTGACGCCATTTTTGATCAAGATCAAGCATAACCATGACTTCATATGGCGTCAAAAGAGGCTTATCGAAGGCATAACCCCAATCAATTGATAACCTGGGACAAGCTACTTGTACAAATGCGTCTATATCATCAAACATAGCGATTTTTTGGGGGAAAATCTCACTAAGAATTATCTTTATCACTTCAATGCCTCTTTGATTTAATGCATTCTCGATATTATCCAAAGTTGTTGGATTCCCTTGCCTTCCTAAGGCACCTAAAATCAAACCGATTTTTTTAGCCTTCTTAGCTACGCTTATTGCATCTTCCCTAACTTTTATCATTTGTTTCTGATCATAACGTTCTCTAGTAAACTTTCTCGAATACGGATCGTATCTGAAGGCTGGGATCTCTGGATTATGAATCATTGCACTTTCAAGGTGAAATCTTCCATCACCAACGTACACCATCGCGTTGATTTGGTCTTTATTCATTCTGGCAGAAGTGCAGCCTAAAACTTCGCCTTTCGATAAGGGCATGGATTGTGGTGCGGTTATAAAGATCGGGTGTTCTTCATCGTGCTCAAGCTTAGCTTTAACGCTATGGATAGTGGGATTAAACTGAATAGTTCCAAATGCAGCTAGATGTGATTCTTTGTCAAAGTTCCTTTTCAAGGTGTTGAGTAAATGGTTTTCGTCGATATTTATAGTGACAAAGACATACAATACTTTGATAGCAGTTATATCAATAGGCACCAAGCATGAGTGAGCATAGTGTACAATAAAGTCGCAACCTAATGCCCTCGCCGTGTAGTCATCAATACAACAAGCTCCATACGAAACATCCCCCATCACCACTGTTTCCACTCCACAAAACTGTTCTAATATATCTGATATAATTAATGAATAAATTAATAAGCCCTCTGGCATTTGTAATGCTACTCTTTTTGCATTTTGCTTCTTGATGTTCCAAACTGTCTTATGTATTTCAAAATTATAATTCAGTGGCAACAACCTCAAGGCTTCGTTGAGACTCTCGTCATTCAATATTTCATCTGGGACCTGATTCACAGCTCTTCCAACATGCCTCCGATGAGATGATTTAACAAGGGCTGTGCCATCTCCCAGGTCTGAACTCAACTTCTTCCCCACAAACCTCCTACGAGGAAACCTTTTCTCCTTATTTATCGTAGTATTCTCTGCCTCTGGCCTACTATCTGGCATTTTAATGTAATGAGCTTTATCTGGTCCAACTTCTGCTGAAATGATCTTAAATATAATTTTCCATCGTGCGGCTCGTGTCAAGAAATGCATCAATTCATCTCATACAAACTCTTTTAGAGTGATAATTTGATCTTTTAAGGATGCTTACCCCTTTCTTCACCATAGATCAAGATGATGAGTTCATCTTCATATCAATAAAGGTATCGCATATTCGATTCAATGCAAAAAACATTGAAATGATTGTTCAAGATGAGTTATTTGTCTTTTCCCTACTGCCATATTACCTTAGATTGAGACTTCCCCGAGCTTGCGTTGATGACGAAAGAGCAAATGCTTCATACGACGCTACTGATGAATGCATCAAAGTGAAAATTCCTAAGGCGATCAGAGGTGAAACGTTTCCTGACCTAGATTTGGTTTCAAAACTACTCTCAAGATCAACTGTAAGTGAATCACATTCAGAAGTTAAAGAAGCAAATACTCAAGTCGACCCCAAGGCGAAGCCATTGATCGAAGAGCTAGACGTCAAAAATGATGTTACTAAAGATCAGACACTTTTAGAGAAGGATCTTGAGGAGGGAGAGCATTTTAACTGGGAGGTTTCGCAAACAATGCCAGAACAGGAGTCTATCCTGATTTCCGACATATCTTATGGCTTCAATAACGGGTATAGCAAGATAGTTGGGCTTTCCTTAGTTAATGGTAATGACATAAATGAGTTGGGTGACCCAGAAGGTACGCCACCAAGTGATAGAATCATTGAAAGATTGATAAAAGAAAATTTAAAATTTGATCCAGAGTACTATGCATCGGAGTACATAATGGAGAAATATCCTCCAGCTGATGAAGAAAATGTATACAAGTCATTACTCGAGTGGAGATCTCCCATTACAAAGCTGTTTTTGAAATGGTATAAGAGCCAACAAGAGCTACCAGATGATCAAAAAGAGTTGATGCACGTGGAATTTACAAAGAAGGAGCAAGAGTTGATGATTAACCTTCCTAGAAAATCTTATATCGTTGAAAATCTGTATGTTCCTGAATTGATGGCATTGCTAGTCACACTTTTGTTTGCTTTTCATTTTGACTTACGAGAAACAGAAGGGGACCATAACATAGAGAGTGCTTGGACAATCGGAAAGTTGGTGCCCCAATTTTCTTTCCTTGATTCGCTACTTGTCATTTATAATGAAGGATTGAGTGAAAGTCTCTTGAAGGTAGCTTCGATAACTTGTTTCAGAAGAGCACTTTCGTATCCATTGCATAGAAATTTCAAATTGATATCGAAGGTCTGGGATGATGTTTACTATAACTTGAGAGGAGGTAAACGACTAGTAATAAAGAGCTTGTTGGAGTTGAAGGAGTTATTTCGGTACCACGACGTCTATTATGTGTATGATAAGATATGGCTCGAAGATTTATGCTCTTGGCTCATAAGTGATTCTGTCTCGGAAGGTATGATTAGGAAATTAGCTCATGATTTAAAGAACTCATATGATTCGATCAAAAAGCTGGATATTACCTTCGAAAAGCCTGGCTCAGAAGATCTGTCAACATCTAGCGATGATGAAGATGATATGGTTGCTATGTCCATCTTAGATACGGAAAATATGGCCGAACAAATGTACCAGTCTTTGCAAGATACATAATTAGCATAAAGGTTTACACTCAGTATATATTTTAAAGATAATTTTAATAAACATGTGCCAATAAATAATCTTAACAAGTTATAAATGACATATATATATATTATTCAAGATGCGAATATAACACGTAAGGCTTTGCCTAAAAGGCCCCTTACTTTCGATGGATCCTGCCTTGCATAAGATACCAAAATAGCAAAGCTAAGGCTGAAAGCTAAGTTCTCGATTTGGAAATGGAAATTGTCATTTTTCACTGGGACAAGAGTACCCAAAGCTTTTGGAGCGACAAATAAAGCCAATTCTTTGCGCCTTTGGCCACTTTCAACGAAGCAGCTGAAGCCCGTAGCATATGCTCCAATCTGTGGAGCTAAGCGTTCCCAGAAGTTAGGAGATACGTTAGGGAAAAGCTTACTTAACCTTGATCGCACCATACAGAATACATACCACATTAGTGTTATAAATGAGCCCAAAAATGCTGATGACCTTACCGTATTGATGATATATGGTTTAGGACTACCACGTCTAACTAGCCACATTATCAAGTTTATTGATCCATAAAGCCTAGCTGCAAATTTAAAACCTCTTACAAACCTCACAAGAGCATTAAGCTCGCAGCTTTTACTTGAAAACCCATGATAAATCTCACAAGGTACGGGCTCCTTCGATTTAGTATCTCCCAACTCGGGATCTTTGCCGTACTTCTTGCAAAAATCTCTAAAAATATCCTCATCAGGGCACTCTTCTCCATACTTACATCTTTTTTGTTCGAAGCTTCTAAAGAAGTTAATTATATCATCATCCATATTAGCAGCCGATGTGATCCAACGCAGATAAGCTGGCGGTAATTTCTCAGGACGAAATGTCCACGCATGCATTATTAATGCCGAAGAGACAATAAATAGAAGCTCGTCTCCGAATAAATGAATATTATATCTCTTTGGCCGTTTGCTGAGTATTGATTGAACACTTGAAGAAATAACGGTATCTAACGCCCTAACAACCAATATTAACGTAAAGTCCAAAGAATGAATTCTTCCGTACTTTGTTATATGCCGCTGAAATAGTGGATAATTAACCATGGACGATATGAAACCAGCAATTGCCGTAGCTAATAGAGGATTAGCAACATTTCTTCGTTTTAACACCTTTTCAACAACAGGAGTTAAAATGTTTAACATTGCAACAATCCTTCCCATTGACATGGGAAACTTCAGGAATTCAAGTGCTTTAATGAGAGTTCGAGTAATATCGGACCAAATTCTATCATACCTTTTTCCTTTAACATCCCTATGAATGCGTTTGAATAACTTAGGCAATACAATATATACATAAGCCAAAAGAACGGTATTAGCTGTTGACTTCAGTAACCCTCTACCAACGATTCTCTTTAAAGAGGATACTGTTTGCACCCGAGACTTCGCCAAGCTACTCATCTTAAGATAGTTTAGAATATATTATAATTAGTTTCACACCTCGGTCTCTTATTTTTTAACACTTAGAGACTGCGAAATTTCATGGTCTGGATTCAAAGGAGTTCCTTCTTGAAGTCTTGAGAGCTCAAATGACCTAAAGCAGATGAATTGATAAGTGTAGTCGATAATTTCAATTTATAGAGACCATATTCTTCTATTAGAGGTCTTTTTTCTAGAGTTTTTAAGACAGTTTATGGTCCTGTAGGGACTATTTTAACGATTTTAATAGCATTTGATTACGGACAAATTGTAGGAAAGTCATCAATATGTCAATTTAAATTATAGCAAGTAAAGACATGTTGATATAGAGCTCTTACTACTCATATTTTTTGAATCAAAAGCCATGTTTAAGCTATCTTAAGAGTTTTGTGAACGATTTTTGGTAAATTTGGTTTGCGACATATATTAATCGAATACGCAAGAAAACATAAAATCAATCGAATCATCATACTTATAATAAACAATAAGAAACATTAGCTTCTAACTCAAGCTGAATAGAGAAGTTTATGATCTGCCTTAATTAAGTCAGCACCCTTCTCGCCAATCATATAAACAGAGTTTTGGATACGGCAATCGGGAATAACTGGAATGACAGAAGCGTCAATAACACGAAGGTTCTTGATACCATGAACCTTAAGGTGAGGATCCACAACGCCTTGACCGATATTCTTAGAAAGACGACAAGTACCACATGGGTGAAAAGCGGTTTGACAACGATCCAAAACGGCTCTTTTCATTTCCTTCTCATTGTCAAGGGGCATGTCCCATGGAAATTCAGAAACAACAAGATCTTTGAAGTCTTCACCGCGTTTAAGAACATCGTAACTGAACCTGATACCTTCACGCATGGCAATAATATCAAGGTCGTTTGAGAAGAAGTTCAAATTAATATTTGCTTGAACGAGTGGGTCGCTGCTATTGAGCTTGACTTCACCCGGCTCAGAAACGGGACGAACTAAGTCAACGACTACACTGATGTAAGACCCTTCCTTGGGAGTTGGATAGTGCCATTGGAATGCGCTTCCAAACATACCAACGAAATCGAGCTCAAAATGGGGTTGTCCTTCTGGAGAAAATGGATCTTTTCCTCCATTTGCGGCTTTGGCCTTTACGTATTGAGGATCTTTCTCCAAATATTTGTCGATTCGTGGGAATCCAACCAACTCAAGAAGACCTGAGCCAACTGGACCTGGATCTTTGGTGCCTTTGCCTTTCTTATATTTTTGAATGGCAGCGTTGTGCTTTGGGCCCAGGCGCAAAAGAATATCATCCACACATATACCGTCCTTGACACGTAAGACAAAGGGGACGCCTGGATGGTCAAGCAAATGTTGGCCTACGTGAGGAGAGTCGATAATGGTTTCAATCCCGTGCCTATTCAATTCGTCCTTTGGCCCAATGCCGGAGAGCATCAAAAGTTTAGGGCTTTCAAAAACCCCTTGTGCTACTATAACTTCACAGTTGGCATAAAAGTTGTGTTCGGTACCAGAAGGGTCAATAACAGTAATACCTTTGGCAACACGATCGGCCTTATCAATGATCAATTTCTTGGAGTGAACATGTGGGAGAATGGTGATGTTTGGCTTGTTGTGAACAAATAGGAAACTTCCTGACCTTTTGCCATGGTAAATGGAGTCCACACAGTGATTAAGACCAATCATTTCACCGTCGTAAATATTGTCTGTCATAGGCTGACCAACTGACTTCCAAGCCTTAATGAGATTTTCACGGAATGGCTTCAATTCCTGAACAAGCTCGGCATGAGAAATTGGAAGTGGTCCACCCAAACCAATTTTCTTAAGTTCCGGATTGTAAAGGCCATAGTCATCGTGATAGGTGGCGCTCTTTCTGAGGTAGTGAACTAGGGGATCCCAAGTCCATTCACTTCCACCGTATTCTTCCCACCTATCGAAGGTAGGTTTACAACCAGGGATCCATGTGAAATAGTTTAGAGACGAACTTCCACCAAGAGCCTTACCTCTAGTGTTTGGCTTCTCGATACGTTCGTAGTCATCGCGCTTCACCATTGTCGTCTTGTAGGCCCAATCGTACTTCGTGTTACGAAGCTCCATAGCATTGGATGGCGTAATAGTTTCTGGGTCATTAATAGAGTCATCAGAACCGGCTTCGACAATCAAAATAGATACGTTGGGGTTTTCAGCAAGACGTCCAGCAACAACGTTACCAGCAGTACCACCTCCAACAATAACAAAATCATAGTGATAAGCGACCATATTCTTAGGATAAAATTTATTAATTTGTGAGATTATAGATCAATCAAAACAAAGTAGGAGCTAAAAAATATGAAGAAATTATCAGTGTCAACTGCTCCTAATATATTGCTATCTCGTGAATTCCAGAATCATGTAAAGCAAATCTAGCTGCTGGCGTAAATGAATCCTTTTAGTAAGAATGGATTCGAAAAGAGTCGCTGATAGATAGTAGAATTGGGGTTGGTCGAATCTAGAATTTCAATCAGCATGAAAGCTGAGTCTTTGAAATTTCATCTGAAATCAAAGAAAGCAGGTTTAATTGTTTAAGTTAAGTAATCACGAAGAACGCTGCTTAACCATAGCATTGAAATCAAAGAAGGAGGTTTAATTGTTCAAAAAAGCAATCTGAAGAGCGCTGCTTAACCATAGAATTCAAGTGAGCGCTAAGTTCTTGCTGATAAGTATCTTTTGAGCTCAGAGTGTTCTTAACTTAGCTAATAACAGAGGACTTTTGACCAAAAACGACTCTTAGAATTATTAAGAAGGCAGAAAACGAGAACACGTTTGTAATTAAGTGGTTCCTCTTGACTTAATTCCAGCCCTAGCTTATTAATTGAGGGACCCGAAAGAGTATCAAACTTATCAGCTTTTTTACCCCATTTCTGATATCAAACCTACTATCTTTGGATTCTATCGTAACTGCATTGACTGTAATTGACATCCTAGGGTCTGCAATGACTGCAGTTGGTGTTCTGAGACTGTATCTGAATGCAAAGTTCTTTTCCAATGATGAAATTAATCCCGATAATCAAGAAACCCGTGTTGGCTGATTGGAAGTTGGCTTCATGAGGGGCTACTTTGATATGATGTCAATCTTTATGTGTCCTTGTTCGAACTAGAATTTCAGATCATCAAATTAGTGCAAAAGGGAATCTACAATGCAAGGTTATTCACAGATAGTAATGCGCCATTATCGTAGTTGATAGAACGGCAACTCTAGAATATCTCGCAGCGTTTTATTTACGTTAGATGATGATCCTATAGTGTTATTCCTTCATTGATGACCCTATAATGTCATCCATAATAGCATACTTCGTAAGGATCGCATTGAATGTATCTATTCTCCAAAGCGTTAATTTTGGCTCATCGCAAGTCTTCCGAGCCATATAATAGCCATTTAATTTATTTCAACTCTTAGAAAGAGTGGGGTTACTACTACTTTAGTTTGAAGTGAAACTCAATTCTGCATGATGAATAAGCTGATCTGGGGCTATAGAAGTCTTTTAAACCAAATGCTGGAGTCTATACTCTCTGCCTTCACAGAAGAGCCACTACATTGTCCAACAGTGCATCAAACAACTTGAGTTGTTTCAAGTAGATCACACTAATTAGTAGTTCCGAACAAACCTTATAGACGGTTTTTCGATTGTGGTAATAATGGAAGCCACCATACTCTTATTTGTAAGCTACTGGGTCTTTTTTTAGAGAAACATCCAATATCATTAGAGAATTATCAACTTTGTCACACTAAAAAACATGGGACAAAACAAACTCGATCAGAAAACTATACTGATCACGATTTATTAGAAGGAGATCTTGAAGTTTACTGGTGACTATCAGAGTGATCAATGGGCAAATCCTCATCAATTGCAAACTTGGACATCAATATGTTTAGCGGTTGTCTTGTCTTGAGTTGCCCTGCGTCCTGACTATAGGACCCGTAACTGCATAAGGAATTTGACAGGACACGCTTGCTGCAACTTCTGTCGATGAGATAAGCATCCAGTAAGAAAGAGTGTTATATAAGGCACTCAAAATTCCTTGCCTATTCATGATGTCACTTCTTCTTTATCTATCTAAAGAAAGAATTCGTCAATCTTTTGGATAGGTTAATAATTAAGTTAATTTTCACATATAACAATCAATTGATACAAAAAAAATGGTGGATAATAAGAAATATTCTGTTCCTCTTTACACGACATCCAACGGATGCCCAGTTAGAAACCCCAATGCCATGCTAAAGATTGGAAAATTTGGCCCCAACTTACTTGAGGATCATCATTTCATTGATCTTATTGCACATTTTGACCGTGAGAGGATTCCTGAACGTGTTGCTCATGCTAAAGGTTCTGGTGCGTACGGTTACCTCGAAGTCACTGACGACATTTCTGACTTAGTCAGTGCCGATTTCCTCAATGGAGTTGGTAAGAAGACGCCACTTTTCAACCGTTTTTCTACTGTGGGTCCTGAAAAGGGTAGTTCTGACACAGTTCGTGACCCTCGTGGTTTTGCAACAAAGTTTTACACCGAAGAGGGTGTAATTGATTGGGTCAATATCAACAGTCCAATTTTCTTTATTAGAAACGGTGTCCAGTTCCCTTTCTTAGTACACACTCAAAAGAGTAGAGATCCTAAAACTAATCTCAAAGATGTTAATATGTACTGGGATTTCTTACTCAATAACCCAGAGTCAGTCCACAATACTATGTTTGTTTTTTCTGATCGTGGTATTCCTCGCTCATATAGACATATGCACGGTTTCTCTGCCCACACTTACAAGTGGACTAATGCGAAGGGTGAATGGCATTACGTTCAGATCCACCTTCTCACAGACCAAGGCATTGAAAACTTCACAAATGAAGAAGGTCACAAAATGGCTGCCGATAATCCGGATCATGATGGTCAAGATTTATATGAAGCTATCGAAAGAGGTGAATATCCGTCCTGGACAGTGTACGTTCAAACTATGACTCCTGAGCAAGCTGAAAAAGCTTCATTCAGTGTTTTCGATTTGACAAAGACCTGGCCCCATTCTGAATACCCTCTCAGAAGATTCGGTAAATTTGTTCTTAACAGAAACCCAGAAAATTACTTCGCTGAAGTTGAACAAGCAGCTTTCAGTCCTGCTAATACTGTTCCTGGTATTGAGCCTTCCGCTGATCCTGTTTTACAGGCTAGGTTATTTTCTTACGCCGATACACAACGCCATCGTTTGGGACCCAATTTCATGCAAATTCCAGTCAACTGTCCACTCCAAGCTCACAATCCATTCCAAAGAGATGGTCCAGGTACTGTTAATGGAAATTACGGTTCTGCACCGAACTACCCTAGTTCATTTGAACCTCTTTCGTACAGTACAACTGCTAATCTTAGTGACGCGAATCACGAGAAGTGGGTTGGCCAAGCCACCAACTTCCAATGGTCTGCTACTGAGGAGGACTACGTTCAACCTTTGGAATTGTGGAAGGTATTTAAAAAGACAGGTCAAGCCGATGCCTTTATTCATAATGTTTCTCTTAACTTGAAAGGAGCTAACCCTGAAATTCAACAACGTGCTATCGCCATGTTCTCAAGAGTTTCTCCTGAAATTGGAACTCTTATTCAAGGTAATCTTACAGGTTAGGTATACTATTTTCTCTTTCACTATATAATTTGTGCTTAAATATCGTTTAAATATGAGTCAAGATTTCACCGTATGCATATTCGTTGTAGATATAAAGAGTATGTGCTAGTTCCTATTATTTTGAAGTGCGTCAAGCATACGGGAACCACCCTTTAATTAGAAATCATTTTCCGGGAACTTGCTGTCTTTAAAAGGAGTTTGGTACTTAAATTAAGAGAATCAAGAGTAAACTTTTCTTTCTAATCTTCCTAAGAAAATCAAACTCTGGCTTTTTTCCAGAATAAAGCATGAAAGGACGAATTTTAACAAAAATAGAAATTAGGAAGCTTTGGTTCAAACATCAATGTATTTTATTATTATTATAGGAGTATAGAGAACTGATAGTTACTTGGAGAAAACAGATCTCTATGATCGCTGTTAAAGATGGCGATTTTTAGTCTTATCATAGAGTCAAAGAGTACTAAATTCAATCAAGGGTCCATATCGTGTATGGCCTGTATATAAACGATAAACTATTATTATCATCTGTGTCACCTACTCTAATGGAACTTGTGTATTTATCAATTTCGAGCTTCCAAAACCTATCGGCACTCAAACTATGTGTTTGTAGAATAATTGAAATTCAGGTCTGAACTCAAGATATAAAGATTATGAAACATTCCACACTGTCCATTATTTTAATTTTTTGAATTTTTTTTGCAGCCGGTACAAAATCTGGATAAATACATCATTACTAGTATAAGAAACATGAATTGCCCTACAATATTTGAAAGATAGAATGTAAGATAAAACACACCGAGAGAGGGAGGTAAGCTGAATGATTTTTCGTTTTTAAAGATGACATGAAACTGTTAAAGATCCAGATATTTAATACCATGATTTTATTTGCTCTCCAGGTCACATAAAGTAATATTCGCTGTCATTGATCAACTAGTAGATTGTACACAGAGTCGAGTCTGATATCATCTTTAACTAAAAATGCAAAAAGTGCAACATCAGTATCTAGTCTCTAAGTTTGGCTCGGTTTACGAAATATCCTTTTCCTGACGATGTAATCCTTAAGAATGTAACTATATTATATGATGCTTGGCCAGTTTTCGCCCTATTGAGGACTATGTTCATCTCTTGATGGTCTTTACGAATCTATTTCTTGAAACATCGAGAGCTTCGATGTGTTAAGGTATTTGAATATATCAGAGAAAGCGTCAAGCTGTAGGAGTATAAGACATCAATTTTTTTCAAAAAGCAGGGCTAATCAGAAGAGTGTTAGTAGTGATGAATTTATTCATACTTTTTTATGCCATTTGGACTTTAATTGGAAAATGCCATTCTGAAATTTTTTTCTTGCATTCTTCTACCAAGAGCAGCCTGTGCTTCTATCTGTTTATCCTTAAATCAATAACTATAAACAGAAAAAAAAAGAAGAAAAAAAAAAAGAGTTTTTCCATCAAGATAATCACGATCTCTCTGTTGTAGTAGTTAGTTCTATGGTTTGGTCTGCACCACAACCCTTGCGGGTATGGCTTCCCTTAAAATTCAATTATGCTGAGAGATCTTTAGGGAAAATAATTGAATGAAGAAGCAAATTTAACGACCTACAAAATGTCTTGAAGTTTCTAGACTCAATTTGATATTAGCTCATATTAGAAATCTTCCGGCGATCTAATTATTAGAGGGAGAAAGTATGTCGTGAGGATATCGTCCAACATTGGACTTCGAGCCTTCCGAATCTCTGCGTCGATCTGACTTTTCGCCATCAGCAACAGTGCTTGTGTCCATTGTTATGTCCTCTTCGTGTGAATCATGGGGATCGGATTCGTCAGCACTTTGGCTCTCTTTCGAAGCCGAAGCTATATGAATGGAGGGAACAAGATCAATAGACATATTTTCAGATCGTGACTTATGTCTTTTGTGACTCTGTTGCATCGGGTTTTGCTGGCGGAATGGGTTGGGAGATGGACTATTGTGAGGAATGCCTCCACTGGGACCTTGTATTGGTGCACCAGGTTTCCAATGATGAAACTGAATTACATGCTGGAATGACTGCATTGATTCCTGAGATAACGGACGATTCAGTTTGCTCTGCTTATGCAAAGGCTGAGCAGGAGAAGGCTTGACTTGGATCGAAGAAGTTGACCCTAACGGAGACAGTAGCTGCAGAGAAGGTCCACTGTTATCTAAATTCGTGACGATAGTTGGAGTTAAATTAGATACTGATGGAGCCGGGGTGAATCCGGGAGCAAGACTTGGGCCCAGCAGTTGACCAGGAATTTTCAGTGACGGACTCTCTTCCGCTTTGTTATGATCCAAGCTTTGATTCTTTGGCCTACTTGGCTCTGTGGGCATTGAAAAATGACGTTGATGCAGTGGAATGATCCTCGATGACCTTCTTGGCCCTGTTCTATAAGGTGCACTTGGGTTAGCCAAGTTAGCAACAGCAGCAGCCCCAATCTTTGCCGGCGAGAGAGGCCTTCTGGAGTTCGGTGTCCCACTGCCAAATTTGAAGTTTGCTAAAGGTACCGGTGAAGCATTGAGCAGATCTACTTGCCGTGGGTCCGATCTGCTGCTGCCTCTGCTATGTGTTTTTCCTAAGGATCCTTCTTGACCTATCTTATGAGGAGGAAGCCCAGAGTTCGGAGTCTTCTGTTCGTCTGGATTTGATTGCTCTTGCTGTTGATGTTGTTGTTGTTGCTGATGTTGTTGCTGCTCAGGTAATATCCCAACACACATGAATGGTATCAAGTTCGGAGGTATCTGTGCCCTCAATGCAGTTTGTATGATAGAATAGTTCTTATTTGCTATTTCTGCTCTGTAGTACTCTTGTTTAGTCTTTTCCTGTTCAGCCTTAAGCTTAACCGATTCAACATAAGCTTCTTCTGAGAAAGGGAAGGAGCTGACGTTTGGTCCAAGGAGCAGTAAAATCCCAGACTGCTCAATAGCCTCTTTAGAGACTCCCTTTAGTCGTTCTTCATCGCTTGCTTGCTTTTTCTTTTCTATTAATTTATCATGATCCGTTGATTGTGAACGCTCTGGATTCGAAAATCTATCTATAAGTGAATGAACACTCATTGAACCTTGTGACATTACTTAAGATGGCGTATTACACATCAGCTAAGTGGCCTATATTTCTCACCGAGATGCTATTAAAATGACTAATTAAATGTGGTTCCCTATCGTTCCTTTTAACCACATCTTACTATTGCCTTTATTTATTAGCGATCCAAAGTAGATCACGCTCGGGCTACAAACAAGGTTCCATTGAAATGATTGTGGTATATAAAAGCTAACGTTACATAAGGCAAAGGGTTGATAGAGTGAGAGTATAACCCGTTTAGAAACTCTCAATCTTAAATATGACTTTACCATCGTCGTTTTTAAGTAATTTAACGTACTTCTTGAAGTTATTTCTCCAATCAAGATAATCGTCGATTCTGAACTTCAATTGACCTTTGAGAAAGAGATTTAACCCTTCGATGACCCATTCTCTTTTGAACTTGAGTTCTATTTCCTCATAGTAATTGTAATTGGTGAAATAAGAGTTTGCAAGGTCGGATGCCCATTTTGAACTCCAAATTAAAGATCCAGAGTAATCTATGAGCTTGTCAATGCTGTATGTTGGTTGAGAGACATTAAAACCGCAAGCTGATACGAAAGCAGAATTATCAGCTTTGGGCTTCAAAAGTTTTTTCAAAAATGGTTCCTTTACTTTCCCATTAAAAAGCAGTACTAGAGAGGATCCCTCTGCAAGTTTATTTCTAAGAGGCAAATTCATACCATCAATTCTGTTGAATTTAACTGATTTCTGGAAGTATTTCTTGCTGCCAATAATGTCTATTATAAGGTCCAATTTATAGTCATTAATGTTGCTTTTGCTGATAGTCTTGTCTCCAGGTTCATCATCACGTAAAAGTGCACCCAATACTTGGGATGCGAAGAAATCAGGTTTCTTGTAGTTTACCGGAACGATTTCTCCAGGTAAAATAATGTCATCATAGGCAACATCATATGATACTAGTTGAAATCTCTTAATCTTAGAAGGATCGTAATAAGACCCTTTAGTGAAATGACTCAAGAAATTTTGCATTTTATCAGTGCTGCTTTCTTTGACTATCAAAATGACATTTAACTCACTCAATGTTGAATAGACAGACGAATTGAGTAATTGTAAAATTGTAAATCCGACATTAGTATCGCCCCCATTAATCAAGATATTTGCCTTTCTTGTGGATTCAAAGATAGACGAAGAGTGCCTTAGCAATTGCTTAGCTCTGCAATATAAGGTTGGAAAGGATGTGAGTTTTGCAAGTGGAGGCAATTCAAGATCGGTAGAAATGCTTGTTAGTTGCTTTCTTGTTTGAGGTGAGGAAGGAGGTATAGCAGCTTCTTCAGACTCAGTAACAGACCCAGATGATGAAGACGACTCAATTTCAAAATTATCATTATCTTTTGACTTATTGAATGAGAGCTGAATATCAATACTTTCAGCTTTATTCAAGGTATCCTCATCAATCTTGATTAAAATGTCTCTTGACGGGGTTATGAGTTGACTGGTAGACAATGAACCCTTTTTACTTAAAGGGTTAATAAGTCCAATAACAGTGTCTCCTATCGAATACTCTCCACTGGTCTTGAAGCTTTTACCCAACTCCTGTATCTTCCCTGCAAACTCGTAGCCTAATCCTACTTTCACGTCGCTAACGTTCAATAGATAGCGATTGATCTTCGCAAGATCCAACGAGTTCAATGACGCATACGTGATATCAACAAGCACACGATCGCTAGGGATAGGTCTCCAGATTTCAGGATAATTGAAGTTCAATTCGGTTTCTTTATTCTGGACTGAAATATCCTTGACTGCTAAATACCTCAACTCACCAAGTTCATCGAACAGAGGACCAAAGTTACGCTGCGTTTTCTTCTTATGCTGCTCGGAGGCTAAGGGTTCTGGCGCAGATGCTTTCTTCTGCAAATGTGAAAACTCCGGAGGAATTTTCTGGAATGGATTAGACTGCTTCTTCACTTCTTCCTTCTTTCGAAGTTCTTCATGATGCTCCCTCAAATCTTCCTCAGGTAACGGGGCAAAATCGACAGATTTCTTCTTCGTCGTTGTCGTTGTATGTTCCTCTGGTTCCGACATCTCCTAATATCTTCTTTGAATAAAAAAAGAGATATATATTATTTTATTATCCTTTTAAATTATTATTGTTATCGCATATTAAAAGAAATCATATATATTAGAGCTTTTTATTAGCTAAACCATCAATAGATTGAATAATCGACGACTGATTGATCGTCTATACTTTGACAGAGACAAGACAAGTAAAATATGTGGATTGTTCCATTTATAAGCTATGTCTTTTCGTTTTTGTTGACTTTATGGGGAGTCAGATTTTACATCAATATATTCAATTATCCTTTTTATACACTGATATCATTGTTACTAGCGGTGTTTATACCACTATCGATCATATTTCTATTGCCCATAGACTATGTATCGAGTAATTCAACGCTGAAGGCAATATGGTTCGATATTTCAGATAAAGTTGTGGTATATTTGTGGAAGAGTAATTATTGGATAACATTTTTGCTAACTTGGCTTTTGCTTCCACTTCTTCAAGAGTTCTATAGATCTGGCTACTACGACAAGATGAGTAAGTTCAAGGATGCATTGAAGAGAAACATCAAGTTCCAGCTTACTGTTTTAGCTGTATCCGTGGCTGGGGTAATTTACTTAGTGCTCGAAGTTGGAGGACTTTCATTCACTCAATTGAAGCTAATGATTATTGCAATGTCCCATATCTACTCTTTGGTACTAGCGTTGTGGTTATTGGGCCATGGACTTGTGAGTATACCTAGAAATAAGTGGATCAGTGGAAATATTATGAGAAAGTTGAACCATCAATATCTCCAGATTCCGAAATTAGTTGATAATCTCGAAGACACTAAGATCAGCTTGAAAGAGGATATTTTCCAAATATTGGAGTTGAAGAAGCATTTCACCAATGATTCGAGAGAAGATATTAGATTTAGAGACTGGATTTTGCAGTTATACAATAGAATCCCAGAAGATTTAAAGGATTCTGTAGAGACACAATATGCCCATGAAAATGAAAACACAATATCTAGAGATAGCATCACGTCCGATTACATGAAGAAATTATCAGCTAGCTTCAACCAAAATTTGTATAAACTAGTGGCATATGAATCCGAGTTTGATACTATATTCAACAAAGTTATGACACTTGAAGACGTGATCAAATCCAAGACGACCTCAAATCTCGAAGAAAGAAACAAACTAGTGTTCAGAAACACTAATAGGAGATCGCTCCTTCTGCCGAGATCTAACTTCATTTTGTATTACTATGTTATACCCCTGTGGAATAGGTTCTTGTCAGTCGTTTTGTTTACAATGTCATTCATAGTCATTGAATCAGAGTTTTTTCATTCCACTAAATTCTCATTCATGAATTTGATCATATATACTACTGGAATCAAGAATTCTGATACTTTAAAGCTATGGATCTCCATCATTATATTTTCATACATGTTGATCGCTGCATTGAATTCCTTAACACTGCTCAAGATTTTTAATATGTATCATTTAGTGAGTTTCAACTCCGACCCAGTTTCGGCTTGTTTCTACGCCACATATATTGCTAGGTTGACAATCCCACTTTCGTACAACTTCATTACATTGTTCATTTCAAGAGATTCCGTCTTTGAATCATGGTTTGGTAAATCTATTCACCTAACTGGGTTGTTCAATTTGATGAATGACTGGCTTCCAAGATTCGTTTTGATTCCGGTGATTTTGAACATTTTTCATGTCTATGAGAAATTAAAAAGGCGTCTTGGATTGAGCTCCGATCTTTATGATTCGTGGGCTTCTTTCGATGACGAGTCAAATCATGACCCGGTAGATTTAGAACAGTTGAATAATAAAAGAAAGGATCTAATTATTGCTGACGGCAAAAGAACAATAGATAGGGAGCTCTTCAAAAGAAGACAGCACACAAACAACGATTTAAGGTCATTTAACTTATCAAACGCGGCCGATCTTAATTACGAAAATAACAGAAGATCTTTCCACGAGTCTCTTACTAATCCTAGTAATACATCCAATCGTATCGATTCGGTATATCACGATGATGAGGATGAAGATCAAGACATCAACAACAGGCTAGACCTTCTAAATAGAGGGTTTGTCTCTAGCGACACAGAGAACTCTAGTGTATGGAACAAACTTGGAGGAACACTTTCCGGCTTGAAGGATTCTGTTGCTTCGAGATTCCAAAGAGAGCAACAGAATAATAGATCAGGGCCATACACTGATGACATCTCAACAGACGAGAATGAAGATGACAATGACGATACAATGGTTTTATAGACTCTAAAGTTTATTAAAGAGCATTTCATTTAGTACTTAGTCCTGTAGATAACGAAATATAGATAAATCATTTTTAAACCCATATAGTTCCTATTTATATCACAGAAGGGCTAGCCACGAGGATCCGAGCCCCTTACTTTATATCTTCTGAATGATTTTGAAGGCGAATGGGCGACTACAGTCCTGCTCTTGCTACTCAATTGATAGAATTAGCCGGCAATATGTGTCTAGTACCGTAACATTCACGGCAATCGATAGACCTCCTAGCGCAGGACCTATACAATCAAAGAAGATTGGGAAGTTAAAAGTACCTCTATTGAAGAGTCCGTCACACTTTGGTCATTTCACATCGAGGGTTAGTCGTATGTACAATGAAGACAGATATAGTGCTAGTATATTGGAGTTTCCAAATGATAGACTCGTATTTAACTTCAATATTTTTGATGGCCATGGAGGAGATCAATGTTCTACATATCTTTCTACCCACCTTTCGGAAGCAATTGAAGCCGGAGATCTGCTAATTAGTACGAAGCAGGATAAAGAAAGAAATGAACTTATGAAGAACTATTGGAAAAACATCGGAGGCTATTGGAAGAGGTGGTATAAACACAGAAAAGATAATTTCAATTCAATGATAAATGACAAATCTAGAATTAAACTCAAAGAAATAGAGGATTCTAAGGATGATTGGAACTTTCGCTTGCCAATGACCTTTTTAAAGACCGATTATGATTTCTTTCTGCATGATGGAGATGCCGGGTCCACATGTACTTCTGCATTTATTGAAACAATATATTCCAAAGAGAGCAATCAACTTACTAGAAGCTATTACTTTAACAGAGGAACTATATCTAAGCTCACTATTGCACACGTCGGTGACACGAAGGCTATTCTAGTGGACAGACATGGTGAAGCTCATGCATTAACTCAAGCACACCATCCTTCAAATCCAATGGAAAGCTCTAGACTTAGAAAGTATGCTGCTGGATTTATGACGGACTCTTTTGGAGAGGAGAGATTTGTCTCTTTGGCTAATACTCGTGCGTTTGGCGATGTCAATTTCAAGCAAGTTGGGGTGTCCGCTGAGCCAGATATATCGGAGTATATTATAGGTGATGCAGAAGCTGTACGCAAAAAGCTAACTCCCCATGAGATTGAAAGCTACACGTTAGCGGGGCTAGGAGGTAATGAGAGTTTCCTTGTTCTTTGTAGCGATGGAGTCACAGGCGAATTGACCGACCAGGAAATTGCAGATATAGTAATGTCTAATTATAACTTGAGAGGGAACCCTCGGGCAAGTGCACAATTGTGTGCCGAAGAGGTGGTTAAATTTGTTGAGTATATAGGTGGAGATGACAATGCTACTTGTCTAATTATAAGGTTGAATGGATGGGGAAAGTGGCCCGAAGTTGATAGAACAGGCGAACTAAGACAAAGGAGAATGGATGATTACAACCCTAGGTCAAGAGGCTAAAGGGTTCTACCAGTTCGTACTGGTAACCCAAATTACAATCTCATTGTAAGTAGAACTAGTTTATTGAATAATATATACAAGTGCGTTCTTAGTTTTTGGAAAATTTATATTGAAATCTCTTTCTAGTCGGAGCAAACTCTCCAAGTTTGGAGCCGACCATGTCCTCATTAATTTCCACCTCTACATATTCCTTTCCATTATGTATTTGAAACTTTAATCCGACAAATTGGGGTAATATAGTACAACTTCTAGCATTCGTCCTTACGGGAGTTCCCTTCTTGATTGCATCATTTATTGGTAAAGGGACAACATGAGGTCCCTTCCAAGCCGATCTTCCTCTCAGTAACACAGGCGTGAACCTCATAGTCTGCTATTTTCCCTGTTTAATAGTCAAACAATTGCTGTCTTAATGGATATACTGATGTCGGTGAAAAATTAAAGTGTCGGATTCGCTCAGGTGACTTATCCCGATATCTAAAACGAGATGAGATGAATAGTTGAAAAACTCAAGAAATTGAAATATTAGATATCAACAAGGCTAACGACATGTTCGCCCCCAGGTTTGATCCCTCAAGGGTTCTAGATGACCAGGGAGACAACTTGATACTGTCAAGGGCCCAAAAACTGGGTAAAAGAAGGCTCAGTCTGACTTCATTTGATGACCAAGAGAAGCTGATATCAGAATTGAGTGAAGATGATACTGAGAACTCCCACGAAAGTTCACTGGAGCATTCTATTGACGGATCCAGCGACGAATCTAGTGACGTATCTAGTGATGAAGAGAACGACGGAATTGTTGATGTAGAAAATGAGATGGCTATTGAGCATATCGACGATAATGAAGAAATTGAGACTACGGAAGTCGAAGCTTCTACCTTAAGGATGAGCCGAAACAAGGAATCAGATATGGAAATCGACGAAGCATCAGATTCACAGTATAAATCAAAGCACAAGGCTCTTTTTCTGAAATTCAGGAGTCTGGTAAAAAGAGAAAGTGATTCTGAAAATGAAACTCCAGAGGACTTCGAGAAACAAGACCTAGCCCCATTACCTCAACCTCCATTGCCAAGAGACAAGAAGCTTGTCTCTACTTTAGCATATTCGAATAATCTTAATTGGTTAGCGACTCCGAAATACAGCTCTCCTAGCGACAAGAAACCTTTCAAAGACATACCATTATCTAGTGTACTCTTGAGAAATCTAGAGAAGATGGGATTTGGGGAAGCCTTTTCGGTACAGATATCTGTACTCGACATAATCCTCAAGGATATCGAAAAGAACAAACTCCGTCCAGATTTTATGGGGGACATATTAGTGAATGCATCTACTGGATCAGGAAAGACGTTAGCATATCTGATTCCAATAGTAGAGGCATTATATCGACGCATAGTACCACGAATCAGAGCAATAATCTTGGTTCCAACTCGACCTTTAATAAATCAAGTTAAAGCAACAATATTGGAGCTTTCAAAGGGGACCAATTTGTCTGTGGCGAGTCTAAAGAATGATATATCAATTAAAGAAGAAGGTGAAAAAATAACCAGTAGTGAGCCAGATATCCTTGTTTCCACTCCTGGTCGTCTAGTTGACCATTTGAATAATAACACGGTTAGTTTGAGGAATTTAAGATTTCTTGTGATAGATGAAGCAGATCGTTTGTTGAACCAATCATTTCAGAACTGGTGCCAAGTATTAAACTCTAAGCTTCCGAAGCCTTCGGATATTTCACATTCATGGGAGTCTACCGTCCAAAAGCTTGTGTTTTCGGCTACTTTAACCACAGATGCCGGTAAACTTGCATTATTGAATTTTCAGAAGCCTAGACTTATTATCGTCAACGATAATGAAAGCTTGGTCAATGAGTTATTTACTGTTCCCAGATTATTGGAAGAACTTAAGTTACGTTTTGGCTCTGCAAAATCTCCTATAAAGCCGTTGATCTTAGCAAAGTTTTTGATTCAAAATAATAAACTTGAGAATGTGTTGGTTTTTGCAAAGTCCAATGAGTCCACCATGAGACTAGCAAGATTATTAAATATCCTTCTATCTAGATTGCAACCAGAAAAAACTATCAATGTCACTTATATGAACTCCACAAATAATAAAAGTTCTTCAAGGACGAAGATACTAAAAGATTTTGCAAACCAATCTATTAACATTCTCGTTGCTACAGATTTGATTGCTCGTGGGATTGACGTACTTTCAATCACCGATGTCGTAAACTACGATCTCCCAAACTCTTCTAGAGAGTACGTACATAGAGTGGGACGTACTGCTAGAGCTAATAGGAACGGTTTTGCCTACAATTTGTGTTTTGGGAAAGGTGAAGACAAGTGGTTTGTTAAACTAATGAGTAATATCGGTCGCGCTAACAAGGAAGTGTTAGACCAGCCAGTAGATTTCAAAGACCTCGTATCTAGCCAAGATGTAAAGATATACGAGGAATGTCTTGAATTATTAAAAGACGAGACACTTAAAAGCATATAAACTATATAAACCTCTTAATCCTTTCATATTAAAATACTTGATGAGCTTTTTGGCTGAAAAAAAAAAAAACTACATAAAAATTAATAATCCGCTAGATATTGATTCTTTACGGTTAAAGTTCATTGTAATAATGGATCGAGATGAGGATGAATCGGATACTTTGGGAGTGAAGCTTGTAGATCAGGATCAGTTGGAAAGCTCGATAACTCAAAGGGCAAATGAAGCACTTATCAGTAAAGATGCGGAATTAGATCAAAAACGGCTAGAGAAGAGCACAAGAGATTTAAATAAGACTCTAGGTAAAATCCGAAGCTTACAAAAGCGCCTGGAGAACCCAAAGACAAAGCTAAGTCAAAGAAAGCAGTTGAAGGATGAAATTGAATGGTATAATGAGAATGAACTTCATCCCTTGAAACAAGATATTCAAGATATTACTGAGAGATTGAACGACAATAGGAACCAGCTTAATCATTCGAAAGAGAAAAAGATCAATCAGGTTACAGATGAAAGATTACCGGGGGAAACAGAAAAGGATTTTCTCATCAGAACAGGTAAGATAACGGCGTTTGGGAATGCAAATTCGTTCCAACAAGATGATAATGGTAAAGGTGAAGCTGCGAAGAGCCATGTTTTCTTGAAAGAGCCCGGATTTGAACCCAGTAATGAATCCAGTAACGAACCCAGTATCTTTGAGGAAGTCAATGATGATGATTATGTCTATGATGAAGAAGGTCCGAGGAAAAGGAAGAAAAGATTGGAAGAAGAGGCCGAATACGAGCATGAGCACTCGAGTCTGGGCTCAGCAGGCGTCGATTTAGATGGAGCTACAAAGGAACAAGAAAGTAAAGAAGAGAGCATCGGGGAACAAGAAGACTCTGAGGATGTCTCTGTACTGAAATTGTTGAGTCGAAATGTAGATGATGGAGATGAAAGAGTGTACCAAATTCGGTTGAAAGACTGGATCAAAAGGAGGTCTGCACTTAGAGAGAACGATGAAGAAAAAGATAAAGAAGAGTGGTTCAAGCCCCATCCAAAGATTCCGGACGCTATATTGAATTCGAAATTCAGATTGCCTGGAGACATATATCCATCATTATTTGATTATCAAAAGACGTGTGTGCAATGGCTCTGGGAGCTCTATTCACAGAAGACTGGTGGAATAATAGGAGATGAAATGGGATTGGGCAAAACCATTCAAATAATATCTTTCATTGCAGGTTTACATTACTCAGGCTTGTTGGAAAAGCCTGTTCTAGTGGTTGTACCAGCTACAGTTTTGAATCAGTGGGTTAATGAATTTCACAGATGGTGGCCACCTTTAAGATGTATTATACTTCATAGTATCGGTTCTGGTATGACTTCTGTTGCTTCTGAAGACAAATTGGATGAGTTTTTGGAGATGAACGATCCCGAGTCTTCGAAAGGAATCGTCAAGAACGTCAGCAGTCAAATCAATGCACAAGAGGTTATTAATAGAGTAATGGAAAAGGGACATGTACTTGTGACGACGTATGTTGGCTTGAGGATATACTCAAAATACATTTTGCCAAAGGAATGGGGATATTGTATATTGGACGAGGGTCATAAAATAAGGAACCCCAACCTGGATATATCATTGACTTGCAAGCAAGTAAAGACATACAATAGAATTATTTTGTCAGGTACACCTATACAAAATAACCTTATTGAATTATGGTCTCTTTTTGACTTTGTTTTCCCTGGACGTTTAGGAACTTTGCCAGTGTTTGAACAACAGTTTGCCATTCCCATTAACATGGGAGGATATGCAAATGCATCAAATGTACAAGTACAAACGGGATATAAGTGTGCAGTTATATTACGAGACTTGATTTCTCCGTATTTATTGAGAAGATTAAAAGTGGACGTTGCTAAGGATTTGCCGAAGAAGAATGAAATGGTTCTCTTTGTAAAATTAACCAGGACTCAACAAGATCTTTATGAAACATTTTTACAAAGTGAAGATCTAAATTCGATCCTAAAAGGAAAGAGAAATGTCTTGATGGGTGTCGATATCTTAAGGAAGATTTGCAACCATCCTGATCTTGTTTATCGAGATCAGCTAATGTATAAAAGTAATTATGGCAATCCAAGCAAATCAGGGAAAATGCAAGTTCTTAAAAACTTACTACAGATTTGGGAATCAGAGAACCACAAGATTCTACTATTTTGTCAAACGAAACAGATGTTGGATATCTTGGAGAAGTTTGTGAGTAGATTAAAGATCTTGGATAGAGAAACTGGAGAAGAGAACCAATCGCTTCAGTATTTCACATATTTGAGAATGGATGGCACTACCCCAATTTCAAGAAGACAAGATCTTGTCGACAGATTTAATGAGGATAAAAGCATAAAAGTATTTCTTTTGACTACGAAAGTCGGAGGCTTAGGGATAAATTTGACAGGCGCCGATAGAGTTATCATATACGACCCTGATTGGAACCCCTCTACAGATATTCAAGCTAGAGAAAGAGCTTGGAGACTCGGTCAAAAGAAAGATATCACGATATATAGATTAATGACAACGGGAACGATAGAGGAAAAAATTTATCATCGTCAAATTTTCAAGACTTTCTTAACCAATAAAATATTGAAGGATCCTAAACAGAGAAGATTTTTCAAAGTGAACGATCTTCATGATTTATTTACCTTGGGAGACCAAGATGAAGCAGGAACTGAGACCGGAAACCTATTCCATGGATCTGAAAGAAATATAAGTGGTGGTAAAACCAGGCCTTCTAACAAATACATGAAGAAACACGATAATGATGACGACTTTTATCAGGTAGCCAACATTATGGGAGTCTCAAAATTGGATAAATACGAAGGCGGAGAGGAAGACGATGAAGCTAATAACAATGGAAGTAATAGTAAGGATGAAAACAGAATCATGGAGAATATATTTGCTAGCAAGGGGGTTCATAGTGCTTTAAAGCATGATAGTATTGTTGACTCGAATAATCAAGAATACAGCTTGATTGAAAGGGAAGCAAATAAAGTTGCAACACAAGCAGCAGAATCACTTAGAAGATCGAGAAAGCTAACAAGGAAAAAGAATATTGGTACACCCACATGGACTGGTAAGTTTGGACTTGCAGGCAAATTTGGACCGCAGAAGAAAAGTAAATCTTCATTGGCATCCACATCAATCTTACAGGACTTGAAGCAACAAAAAGATATTGGATCAATCTCTCCAATAACATCTGGGCCGGAAAAAGGGACCCCTCCGAGTCGCTCAGACTTCAAGAAAGATCTCATGCCAAAGCTTATTTCTTATCTTAAAGAATGTCCAAGCTACTTCAGTCTGTCGAACGATATTTTAAAACATCTCAAAGTACAAGTAGATAAGGATGAGATTATAATATTAGTCAGATCTATGCTTCGGGAAATAGCTCAATGGAACCTGGAAAAGAAAGGTTGGCTGTTGAAGGAAGAATTCAGAGAAGAGCCCGAACCTAAAGATATCAATTCTTGAAGAAGAAATATGCTATTATAACTTTAAAATCAGTTTGTCTTGAAGTTCTTGACGCATTAATCCTTTTCAATAGTATTCGTCCAAGTGAATACTTCATTAATTACTAAATATATAATTTGCTTATATGAACGCATTTAAAGATTAGCTCTACTTTTTCACAACAAATCACTTTAATCTGCTCCTTATTCTCACGATCACGGAGTTTTATAAGAACTCCATTGATAAATTGATATATTAAGAGCCATTTCACACATTGAGGTAGGCTGGTTAATGCTCAAACCATCCTGCATATATATATAGGTTGCGAAAAGTATCAGCCCATGGCCTTATGATCAACTTATATGTTAACCAAAGGACTGGGAGTATGATATCAATAAAAAATGCATTCAGAGTAAGTTCCTTTCAAAGAAAGCTTAGTTACTCTATGAATTATAACAAAATTTCAAGAGTAGTTGGCATGATTTAATTTGGTCAGTTCAATAAACCTTTTAACTTGATATCTTATATAGAAGACAAAAGGCATGTTCTGAACAATATCTACAGAAGGAAGTCATTGGAGCTAAAGGAAACCAATTAGAATCTGACAATCCATGGAAAGATTCAATCTATCATGCTTTTAAATTTTTAACGTGGTACCTAGGGGATATACCAGACATCTTGCGTAGTAATTCAACAAGGGCAATTAAGAGATGCTATATACTGGCTTATATAAGATCATTGATTATTTCCTAGCATTCTCTGCGTGCTACCAAAATATTTGATATAATTCATCATAGGAGCTGAAGATCTGGATACATGTAAAGACTTCAGATTATCGCAAGATCTCTTTTCCACTTTACTTTGGACAAACTATGGGCAAAAAGAAGACACCAGGTCCCACAAGAGCAAATTGCGTATAAGATCTATAGTTCTAATTCAATCTAGCTTCTTTAAACTTGAAGAGTGAAGGAGCCATTTCAGAGGGAATGAGATTGAGATGTATCACTAGGAACTTTGAAAGAATTTAGGGTCAAAATATTATGTGACCAAGTTTCTTTTCTTTCTCACATGCTAAAGCTTAGTGAATTGTGAAAACTTCCCACTAGCTTACGGTTCATTATGTGGTTGTCCAATGCAAGAGCTTTAGAAAGCTCATTATTAAGTTCTTCTGGACCAAAAATCCACAGAGATCAAGAATAAACTCACCAAATAGAAATAGAAATAGAAATTGAAAACTTTCCAAGAAGGAGAGAAATTGTGCTTAGATAACTTAGTAAAGGACTCCAGAATACGGGCGATAGTGCCATATAGATCGAAACTTGAGACTGGGAATCAATTTCTGAGTATTATCGGAGAGCGATGAATTCCCTAACCTTAATCTTGTCGTTTTTTCATAGTTAGTATAGCATAGACCTGGAAAATGCCAAACTGTAATCCCTAAGTATCTGATGCTTAAAAAAGTTGTTCTTTTGTGTTAAAAAACTCATCTTATATGAAGGGTATATTGATGTGAGTATGAAATTTTTCAAAAATGCGATTACAAATTATCACCAATCACCAGTTACTCAATAGTCACCATATGCTTAGTATAAGGAGGTTTAAATCCTTTATTCCTACTTGTCCTTCCCCAAGTTATGATACTGGCTGCACATACTGTGAAACTCCCAAGTTTCCAGCTAATAAGCAGATAGATTTTGAGAAGAATTTGAACAATACGAAGGCGTTGCCATGGAAGCATTTAATCAGCTTGACTCATGGAGCTAAAGATATGGAAACAATGCCTTCCAAAATTGAATTAGTACCGGGGTCTTTGAATGAACGTCTCAATCTGTTGAGACTGCAGTTCAGTCCTCACCACCCCATCATGATATCTAATATGATCTTTAATAATCAAGATGAATTTCTTAATCGATATAAAGTGACGGGACAGGAGCAATTGGTGATGTTGATACCAGACTACAAGATTGTTAAATTTAATATTGATAACACTGCTGGCTTTATCCAAAGGTATTTGATACCGAAAGAAGGAATAAGACAAATTTACAATCCCTTCAAAAGGAAAGAAAGTGTGGCCCAAATTGAGAAAGAGATAGCTGACGATCCGAATGCCTTTGAGGAGCACGCCATGGAACGAGATATGATAGCAATATGCGGTCATTTCCAACGAGATATCAGATGTGGCGAGCTAGCTCCATTGATAAACGAAGAATTGATACGGGTCATAGACCGTAATCAGCTTGACATTGATGTTGGTCTTATCAGCCACATAGGTGGCCACGCTTATGCCGGAAACTTGATCTATTTTCCATTGGGCGAGGACTCAATTTGGTATGGACGAGTTTTCCCTAACAAGGTTCAAGGCATTATCAATGAAACGGTAAAACGTAAAAGAATAATTAAAGATATGTATAGGGGAAACGTAGCCGAGAACACATAGGGTATCTAAGAATAGTGAGGTGCGGATACGGATCACTGGCTCCGAAAAAGTTATCTTTCGGCGGTTTCTAATGATTTCCATGTAAATATTTAGATAAGAGTTAAATTATACGACTTATTTCGGCAGACTTGCTACAATTTGCCTTATTTCCGTAACATCGGCCCTGGAGTTCTCCGACTATTCCCCTATTAGAGCTAGTTTACTAGTGTACATACAATATGTCTGCCGACATCTGCACGGCACGCAGATATGATCGTGGAGGGTACGAGGAGTAAGTATGCAGGCAATGTTCTTGGTGCAGATAAATGCCGTATCCCATGTCGGGATTCGTCCGGTGAAGGCAATGTAATCGGCTTTTTTGCCACACAACAGTAGTTGCATTCTGCGCTACAATGCGGTGCGAGATTCACACAGCGATCAACATCCCGACACAGAGAGCTTCGGCGCGCAGCGGCGCTCCGCTTCCCGTGTTTCTGTACCCTCAACTGCGCTATACAGTCGAAGCAGTGTACAATCCGGTACTTACAGAACACAATGCAATGAGAGCAGCGGCTATTACAGCTACAGACTAGCGATGTCGATGTCTAAATTAGAATATGAGATTTAAATAGGGTCCTACGAAGAAGTGGCTGCGTGCTGCTTTATGATACCTTCGACATATATTCAATACGTTTTCTGCGTCTCGGTTGCTTCCCTGCGGGTTGGAGCGCTGACGACCAACAGCTGCTGCTAAAGTGCTGCCAAAATGCATAAACCCTCTTCAACAGTCTTATTACCCTATACTTAATGATTGATCATCGTAGAGACCGTAGTTTCAGCCATCACTGTCATTGTATGTTACTATGTCTGGTTGTAGTTGTGACCTTGCTATTCTCAACGGATAGGTGGCGCCAGGCGTTCATTAAATTTTTTATCCGCTGTAAAAAAAAAAGTGGCCGATCTCACTCGTCACTCTTTTCTAAATTTCTTTATTTTACTTCCATCCCCGTGAAAACTTAATTCGTTGCAAAAGAATAAGAAAACAACAGTATAAACTGTTTGACAGACTTAAAGGAGCAGTAAAGTCATCAGCATAGGTAAAAGGTAATTCTTATTCCAAGGGAGATAAACAAAGAAATCAGCTGAAAAACTAGAAATAAGCAGAACAGAGAATAACATTGGTGACTGAAACCTTCTGAACCTCTAAGAAATCCTATTGAAAGATAATTAGAGACAGCAAGATTCACAGCTTCACAGCTCTCTTAAAGTATAGACCGGAAAGGAAAAAAGTATAGGTAGCTTAAACCAGGGATACATTTAGGAGATCAACAGAGATAGACATAACAAAGCACAAAAGTAGACAATAATTGACCAGTTCCATTTACAACGATGTCGAACTTGGATAATCATGGCACAGGTCATCAAACGGTCTTGCCTGATTACAGATCAGCTTATCAAATGTCCCATTCGGGCACTGGAGTAACTGGATCTTCAACTTCTGGTCCTTCTGGTGTTTCTACGACCGCTGGTGGTGCTATACCAAACCCGTCCTCTAATGCAGCGCTCCAACCCCCTTCACAAACTTCACAAATGCAACCGTCACCCTACTCGCAAATGCCTCAAAGAGCTTCTTCTACTATTCCTCAGTCAATCCAACAGTATGCTCAAAGCAGCCATTATCCCGATCTGGCCCAGCAATACCAACAGCTCTTGAACAGTAACTATGGCTCTTCAATTCAACAACAGCCTCAGCAACAAATGATGAATCAACCTTATACATCGTACTATATGTTCAGCCAACAGCCTCTGCAAGCTCCGCTGCAACAGCAACCACAACAACCACAGTTATCTCAACAGCCATCGACTGGAGCGGGCCCCAGAAACTCCGCTTCTGAACAAAGTTATGCATATGCTAGGTACCCCTATGCTACTGCGACGGCAGCGACCCCTTCAACTTCTGCAGCGGCCCCTGGGTCGAATTATGCAACAATGTATCAACAATCAATTCCTCAGATCAACAAGCTGTTAAGTCAACCTCAGTCAAGACCATACAACCAAGTTTCTTCTAATGCAGCCAATGCTTATTCGGCAGCCAGCTCTGATTCATCCCAACTTCAACGGTCTGTAAATCCTGTGAGTAACTCTAGCGTTGGTCAGTATCAACCTCCAGGGGTACGTCCGAGAGTGACAACAACAATGTGGGAAGATGAAAAGACTTTATGTTACCAGGTGGATGCGAATAATGTGTCGGTTGTTAGAAGGGCTGATAATAACATGATCAACGGTACTAAGTTGTTAAATGTTGCTCAAATGACTAGAGGTCGTAGAGATGGAATTTTGAAATCTGAAAAGGTTAGACATGTGGTTAAGATTGGCTCAATGCATTTGAAGGGTGTATGGATCCCATTTGAGCGAGCACTATCGATGGCACAAAGAGAAGGCATAGTAGATTTATTATATCCATTGTTTGTCAGAGATATCAAAAGAGTGATTCAAACTGGAATAACTCCGACTAATAATTCCTCTGCGGCAGGTGCTTCAATGACAGCTAAATCTGCTAGTCCTAGTAATGGGAATACTAACTATGGCATGGGTGGCTATTATCAACAATATAATAAGCAATATGCCCAAAATGGTACAGGTGGTTCAGGCGCTATACAACAATCTCCACAACAAGCTTCTAATGCTGATATTCACCAAGCGTCACAGCATCAGCCTCCTCAAGCACAACAAATGTATGGGTATCAACAACCTTACTATGCTGCTAATCAATACTATCAACCATACAATCCAAGCAATAACTATTCTTCGTATGGCAGTCAGCCAATGTATTCAGGCTACAGTTATATTAATCAACAAGTTCCTCAACAGGTGTCACATCAAACACCTTCATCTTCTGCTGCTAATTTACATTCTGCTACATCTTCGACACAACCATTAGCTTCTGGTGACCACACTTCTACTCAACCATCATCTCACGAAAACCCTAATGGAAGTGATACCTCAGGTAGTAGTAATGATAGTGTCGATAGAAAGAAGGATGATAAATAAGACGCATCAATAGATTTCGCTATTTTAACAGCTATTGCAATTCAACTACATGACTAATTATATTTCCTTTACTTGAGATGATGCCAGAGGTCACTTCTTGCAATGTTTTCTTCAAAACGTTAAAGGAGAACAAAGGAGAGCCTTATCTTTTTAATAGAATAATTAAGATTTGCAAAAAAAGAAGGAAAGAAAAAAAAAAAAAAGAAAAGTTGCTCACATAAGCTGCTGTATTATTAAAAAATTCTGTGAGGGTCCTTACAATACAATTATTTATTTCAAGTGACACTCCAGCTTGTTAGTAAACAAATTTTTATATATGAAATATGAATTAAAAAAATATTTTACGCATTCATTTGTTCGTTGAGTAGACTTGTATATTGATTAAGTATACTGATCTCCCCAGAGAAATAGAAGCTGATTAAGTTATATAATATATCAAATCAAACTTCAAAATAGTTGTTAATAATGATAAAATTATTCTGTCTTTTTGTCGTATTCAGATTCATTTTTATTGAGATCATCATAAGAAGCTTGTAATCCTTCTATTTGTTTCCTAAATGTATCAATATCAAGCTGCTTCTTCTTTATCAAAGATTTGTATTTTTCAACCTCTTCATCTTCTTTTGGTGGCACTTTTGACAGCAATGACCTAAATGATTCTTCTTTTAAGACTATTTTTTTGAATACTTTCATGACCGTAAATATTGATAACTCCAAATACAACACTGCACCAGTAATATACAAATTTCTTTGTGAATAGAATTTGGAAGCTAATTGATCATATGAAATTCTTTGCGGTTGATAGTCTTGAGTAAAATAAGGATTTCTTTGGAATTCTAATTTTTTTAATCTATTCAAGCAGTCCATGAACTGCATTCCTAACAATATGGTGAAAAATATTAGGGTTACTTTAAATCTCTGAGACGATTTAACCATTTCAGAAAGCTGAAGTATCTTCTTTCTAATTGCGAATGGTAATGGTAATAGCAAGACTAGTAAATAAGCCATCTCAGCGGTCATAAGACCAAAAACTAATGTCATTTGAATACTCATTTTCAATAAATCAATTAATGTATGCCAATTATCAAGAACTTATGAGCTTGATCTAGAAAAAGGATGTGCTACGTAATATTTGACAGGTATGCAACTTGTGCTAAATTTCACCCTCAGATTTAAGCCTGCACAATGATACACATTTACTTTAAGCGTGAACGTACTTGGGAGTCTTCGATATAAGAGCATGTTTGCTTTATGGGCTTGGGACTCAGATAAATACTCTAAACTACTTTTACTTTGAGAATACACATAAATTTTTCTATAAATCCATGACTGTCGCTGCTAGAAATTAAACAAAAAAAAAAAGCTTATAAACCACTTACTCTCTTAGCATAGTGATATGCAAATATACTGAACAATGCCATGCCAAAAATAATGGACCAGAACCAAGCCAACCCATCATAATCTTGTCCTGGAACCAAGCAATTCATACCCCATAAACCCGTCACAACGTTAATTGGTAGCACAATAGTTCCTAAAATGGTAATTTTTCCCAAAACATCGTTGGTATCATTATTAACCTTTGTCATATCGATATTTATCTGTGCTAAATAATTGGAATGGAACCTTGCCAACAACTTCTCATAATGATTGAGTGACTGTACCATAGTAACTATATGATCTTGAATATCACCGAGGTACATACCAATTTCTATTTTGCTCGATCCCGAATCGACATTCTCTCTGAATCTTTTGCTGAAACCCTTTATCACATCGGCTTTTGATCCTAGTAATCTTAAGACAGACATGACTCGTTTACGACACTCCCCAATCCTTCTAAGCATATCTCCTTTTCTCTTCCATCCTAAAATCTTTGAGCCAGAACTTTTCGAGTCAGTAGACCTTCTGCTTGAGGCACTTCTAGATATTATTGAAGGTGGGCGATTCCGCTTTGGAAGCGGCCTGCTATCAACTATAGATTTGGACCTCGAGCGTTTGTAAAAAATACTTGGTTCCCTGCTCTTTTTTAAGTGAGACTTATTCGATTCTTTATATTCATCTTCAATTTCCAGATCAACGTCACTATCTGTATCCAGATCAGTATCTCCGGAATGCATTTTAAGAATTGCATCCTCAATAGAGTTGACTTCTTCTTCAATACTTTCAATCATTGGGGCAAAAGAATCAGTAATGTCATCAATTAAAGCATAACACAACCAATCTGAGGAAACGGTCAAGTAATCCCTTAATAGCCTTGCTCTTCTCCTAACGTTTATAGGATGCGGTGTCGCTGCAAAATGGAACGTAATGACTCCATGTTTGAAAATTATGATATACATATTCAACGGCAGTAGCTCGCCATCTCTAATCTTTCTACCCCTAGATTTGATGGATGTGGTATCTTTGGTATTATTTATTGCACTGTGAGATCTCGTTGTATTGTAATGAGAATCATTCTTACCAAAAATTTTACGAATAAGACTCCAGATTTTTGATTTATGCTCTGTAGACCGAAAGATATTCTTTCCATCATTCTTATCATACATCTCCTGAAGCTTAGCCATCGTTTTTTCCTGCTCTTTTGCTCGCTGTAAACGCCTTTCATATACTATATCGAAAGAAGTGAAGCAGATGAAGTAATACGATCTAAATAGTTCAACTTTTTCTCTAGCTTCACCTAAAAATATGTCTTCAGTCGTCAAAGGATGGATTCCAAATGTTTTAGAAAGTACTTTCATCTCTTCTTCTGTCGGATCTAAGACATCTAGCCAAAAAGGGTTTACTGAACTCTCATTTGGATCCGCTGTCGAGCCTAAAACAGTCCCAGGAGCAGAATGATCTGCACTTCGAGACATTGGGTTTCCAGATTTAGATGGAGCTTGGGTGTTTGGATTCGCTGGTGATATCTCTGTCAAACCTGGCGTAAGGTTATTTCCTAAGCTGCTTTCGTTTATGCTGACACTTTCTGACAGATTCCGGTTTCGAGAGTAATGTGCTGGCAGAAAAAGATCTTCAAGGGACGTGATTTCGGCATCACTTTCATCACTTTCATCATCGTCGTTTGCATCACCTCTCCATTTTTTAGAAATGTTAATACTCTGCTCTTTTACTTTGGTATTATTGTTTGCGATTAATCCACTAATTGTCGGAGAGTGAATGGTCTTGTCAAGATCTTCCCTAAAGTAAGTAAATCTACACACCTTGCCGTCTGCTTTGCCTCCTTTTTGATGTAAATGTCTATTATCCTGTTCCAGCTGTTGGCGATTTAAAATCGGAGTGATCTTTTCTTTTGACTTTTCCCATGGTTGAATAGGCGTTGGTCTTATTTTTAAAGAATTGTTCATCAGTTCAAGGGATTCGACCTCATTGATTTGAGTATTATTCAATAAAGGAGTATCCTCTGAGATCTCGCCTGAGGAATGCAACTTAGGAGAAGAAGGCGAAGGCTCTGCTTCTCTATTATTATTATAATTATTATCACTATGGCCTTTCACATAGTCACCAAAGGTAATGTGCTCAGAATGTTCTTCTAGCTCCTCTTTTACGAACTCTTCAAGAACCCTTAAATCGGGCCACTCGAATCCAATTTCTTTGCTCCCAGCAGTGTCCGCATGATCATAATAATCTGGGAAGCAAACATCATCTAACGACGTGGAATCACTTGGATGCTCAGAAGAAGGGTTCGATCCACCAAACTCTAGAGAATTAATAGAATATGAGTCCCCATCATCATTCTCCCCTACTGCATTATTCTGGTTCTCTGAAAATGGGTTCTTCCAACTCTGGGAATCTGCCAACTTCCTTTGATCTTTCGCATACGAGTCCATATCTAAAGCCAATCCGCCACCTGGCGATTCAGGTCTACTTCCATTGCTTTGAGTTAGCAAACTTTGAAGATTTCTATTCGTTAATGGGAGATTGGGCTGAGCAGCATTCGACGTATTTGGCGCCACTGTATATCGTCTGGAGTTTAAATTACTGTTCCCAAATTTATTAAGATTCTTGTTTGTTACCGTGGCCGCCTGCAGCGAGTTTCTTCTTCTAGCTCTAGCTGGCGATGAATGTATGTGAGCAAAGTCATCGTACATTCTATGATCTATTAAAGCACCCACTTTATTTGTGCCGTCGCCGATGGCGTTGTTTGATGATGTTGACGAGTCATCATCAGCCGCTGAATCTGAGACAAAAGACGGGCCACCAATGACCCTCTTATTTTTGCCCATATTCAATTATATAATATCTGTCAGTAGCTATTTCAATACTTCTTGGCCTATAGTGCTACTTGATTCAGTAAGAAGAAATAAAAAAATGCTTTTACTTAATGATTGCTTTGAAATTTCATACACACTCGCTACGAACTATCTTACGAGTCAAATGTATAACCTTCGACTACAAAATGTCTCGCAGGAGTATTGATCAGATAACGACGGAGTTCCATGATGGGGGACAGAAGCAGCCGTATATCGTGTATCAATTAGAGGACATGAAACCAGTTAGCTCGGTGGTACGTCTACAAATCTCCCTTTATCGCTAAGAGATACAATAGTGCGGGTTTTGATTTAGGAGACTATTGCTTATATAGAGGGAGGAGCCTTCGGCGTTGATGATACGAAATTCTGCCCAAGCCCATTGGTTGCATTGAGGAAAAGAGTGAATTTATCTGTTACCGTATTAGAATGATGATGTCAGTGTTTCTCCAATTGTACTGTTAGATAATATCGCAGGGGATGGCTCACTGAGGTAGTGTAACATCCTTGGCAAAGATTCGCAGAAATCGGCGGCAGAATTAGTCCTCCTCGCTCTCCTCATCTTTGTCATCCTCTTCAGATACTTTCTCGCTTGACTTGATCTTCTTAGACTTTGAAACATCATCTTCAACTTTTCTCTTCTTTCCCCCGTTTAATTTGTCCAATGCTTCTTTAACTTGGTCAGCTGCTTCGAGTAATTTAGTCCAACTATCTTCGGTAAGAGATATACCTTTTTTGCCTGGTTTTTTCTCATTAGTGTTCTTGTCGATGTAGAATTCTCTAATATCCACTAAATTAACATTGTTGAACTTTCTGACAGTTATTTGTTTCTTCTTGTCTAGCTCAATCACGGTTTCATCTGCTGCTTTCGAACTCATTGGAAAGGACTCTTATTTTGGAAGCCAAGGTGCCAAAGCTTGATCTTATTATATATTGGAGAATAAACTCGGAGAAGCGTTTCGAACACTTGGGAGAAATTGGGAGGAAGATATAAATTAAATTACAAGAGGATATATTGCTGTATAAATAAAAGAAAATACTTAGTGCACAAAAATCCGAATAATACACGTCTAATATGCTGCAAATCGAGTTAAATAAATAAAACCTCCAGAATTGCTTAATGAAAGCCACTAGGCCATGTTTCGTCCAAATGTTCTGGACCAAGCATTTTTCTGGCCTCTTCTACTATACTTGCATCCTTTTCGAGAACACCGTTTAAATTCTGCTTCACTGTCCAATAATTTTGAATTGCATCTTGCAACTCTTGAATAGTGGATACTCCGAGGACAAGGGAGCAATCTCTCTTCCACTCGAGCTCTTTTCCATGATTTTTGTCCTCGAAAAGCCAGTTTCTATAAGCAAATCGTGTAGATAAATCCGCAAGTTCCAAACCGGAATATTCACTCTTCAAGTGAGAAGCAACTTTTTGAACAGCAGCCTTTAGTGCAGCAGGAGCAGGATGAAAATCATGGGTCTTCTGAGATCTAAGTAACGACATGCTCAAGATTGATCCGTTCAACATCTTTTTGACACCGATATCGAAGAATTTTTGATATTCGTCAAACAAAATTGTATTTTGGAGACACCCGTTGGCGTATGATAATACAGCATCCAATGGCCCAATTGTATTATCCTTAGATGCTCCTAGAGCTATCTTATACAAAAAATTCACTGGATAACCGGAGATACCAATATTTTTGACTACATTTTCGTCCTTCAAGAGTTTTAATTCTCTCAAAGCTTCAAAAATCTCCTCATCTTTGACAAACTCTATATCGTGACAGTACACCAAGTCAAGATACAGTGTATTTAATTTTTCAATGGAATTCATAACAGATTTCCTGATGCCTTCTCTCGAGTACCTGAACCCATCAGGATGCCGTCCTACCTTGGTGCAGAGGAAATATGACTCTCTATTCCATTTATCTTTAAGAGCATTCAATGCTTTTCCAAAAATCTCCTCTGACAGGCCGTAGTAGGGAGATGTATCGAGAGCTATAATTCCATTTTCAAATGCCTTATCAATCATTTCTGTAATCGGCATTTTGAAGGGATCGTCAGTATATATGGTGTTGAGGACTGCTCCACCAAAAATTAAGGGAGGCAAGTCTTCAATTTTGCTCTCACCTCCTTTCTTTGGGGGTACAATAGGCAAGGAATTATCCATTACTAGTTGCCTTAAAGTGGGCCGTGGATTTGTGTTGAAGAAATTTGAAGATTATCATTAATCATCGCTAAACGGTTTCGCTAGCCATGTACAGTACTATTCAAAAAGATATCTATGCTAATTATACTATCATATAAATTTACATAACTAAAGCATTCCTAAAACAAATCATTTCCCTCTATAATATAGTTGCCCGGTACCAATCCCATCATGCCAACGCTCTCAGAACAATTGCCAGCCAATTCACAGACAAACCAGTTGTCTTCTTGTTTATGTATGACGTACATATTCCAACCTTTTTTGAAACTTAATTCGCCACGATGCTGTGCCTTGTAGGTATATCTTGCAGTGGCCTTAATAAGATATGGCTTTCTGCTTATGGGTGACATTTGATTTAGAATGGAATGGATGTTTTTGTAGGACTTTGTCGGGCTCATCAGTAGTGATTTTCTTCTCGGCTTCTCCTTACGAATCACTGTCTGAAGCAGATCTTCATTGATACTGTTAAAGTCATCTACGCGCACAGGATCAAGCATTGACTTTGGTCTAGCTCTAGATGCAGAAGAGCGCATATTGACTTTTGAAGGGGTCAGAGTGGGAGTTCTCAAGTTTATGGACTCGTAACGAGTTGCAACCTCGTTACGATCGTCCACATAATCTGACTTGGATATGAAAGGTGATCTGTGGTTATCATCATGAAGCTCTTTTTCTATTCTAACAGATTTTCTATACTTATTAATGTCACCATTTCCACCGGATTTTAAATCATCGAGGGCCCGTGCAATGTAATCCATAGAAAAGTCCTTCTCTATAGGTATTTCTTTCTTTCTTTCGGTAAATTGTTTATCATCTCTATTCATTGGAGACACGGGAAGCTCCTTTGATTTCATGTTTATCTTTTCCTGCAAGATCTTTCTTTCATGAGCACTCCTCCTTGGAGAAGACCAAGTCCGCTCTCCACCGCTTGAGCCAGATGAGTAATTAGACGAAGAGTAGGCAGTTGGGTTCGAGTAATTTGATGAACCATTGCTATTGCTGAATTTATGTGTTTCAGCATTCATGTTATTCTCTTTCAAAGAGAATATATCGTTTTGATTATCTTCAGGACTTGAACTGTAAAGTGAATTGGATTTACCAATCGCAACACCAGTAGACTCTGGAGCCAAACTATCAGTAGGAGGCTTTCTTGCTGGAGAAGTTTTGCTAGGGGAAGAAGGCGGCGGTAGGCTCACAGCTGGCAATTCCTTAGCTAAAATATTTCTGTTCGGGGTATTTTTGGTAGGACTGTTTGAGTAATTGCTTCTATTATCAATTTCCTGGGTCGCAGATGAATAGGTCGAGTAGGATCTTGTTAGTAAGGCTTCAATTGCTGGATTTTCAAATTCAGCGATAGTGTATTCGGGAGTATCGCTTACATCCTCATATCCGTTCATAAAATCAATAAAGTGGAGCTCCTTGTATATCTTATTTCCAGTCCCATAAGTATCTCCATAAGACTGAAGGTCTGACGAGGGCTGTATTTGAGCAAATGAAGATCTTGCCAAGTCGGCAGCATGGTCATTGTCAACACATAATGTGGCAACATTGTTACAAAAATTGAAGCAATTGATTTTGCAGAGATTGATTTTCTCTATCTCTAATTTATAGAAGTCCTTTAATGATATCGACCAATCTCTGATGTATATATCTCTCAACTCGTTGTATTTGTCCACGTCGATCTTGTAGTTTTGTTCACTTGCAGACACCGCCTGTTCCAATTTATTCAATTTGGACTGATTTCTTTCCAACTCCTTACCCCAAGTGGTTTGTACTATTAATCTTAAGGACTTAATTTGAGCGCAGTCTTCCTGGTATTTTCTCTTGCTATTTGATAACAGGTTACTAGCACTATTCAACCTTGAAACAATTTTGGACATATGTTTATCGATTTTACTTGATCTCTTCTTATAAGTATCTCGAAACTTCAAAAGCTTTTCGTAGTTGATCTGACTCACTGCGTTGAGAAATTTGTGATTATACTTCACCATTTGATCATTTTCGTAAGAGAATTTGTCCAAGGAGGCTTTCAAAGATCCTGTCTCATTGGATCCCAAAACTAGTCTTTTATTGAGCTTTTCAAGTTTCTTACTATATTCCTTCTCAATACTAATTCTACTATCATAATATTCAAGTAGTTCCTCTAATATAGTCAAAGAGTCCCTTGTTTTGCTCTGAATTGCACTATATCCAGCACTTTGATGACCCCAAAAGTTGCTAACGAAGCTCGTATTATCACTTCCAGCCTGCCCTGTTTTCATCATGATGCCAAATTTTGATGTAGCTTACTTCAATTAAATTAGTATGACAGCTTATATGTTTGCCGGATTTCATAGCCGATGACCTATATATCTTTGACATTTTATAATTTCCTTTCCAATCCATACTGTACTGTTTACCTAAACTCCTTAATAGGAAATGGTTCCATTGACTATATACAGGGAATTATATCAACCTAAGCAAAGTATATCGCGATGAGCGTATTCCAGGCTTATTAAGTGGGACCTTGACTCTGTGGACACAGCTATTAAGAATACCCCAGATTAATTTGAGGCGTCCTGATTCATCATATGATAATGCTTTCCGTGTATAAATTAAATCTGAGTGAGTGACATTTCTTGATGGAAGTGCTGAATACATCTCCGCCTAGTCCCCATGTAATTTCAATGGCTTATTTTCCTAGGATTGCTTGGGGTATTGCATTATCATCTTTTAAGACTATGTTCATTTTGATTCATTCAATAAAACCTGTATGTGGCTCGGATGTTGTACTGCCATAACTTGACTCAAAGACTACATAGAATCATATCTCGTGATATTTTATTCCCAAAATTTCGATCCGAGCTTCGGGTCACCCATAATTAAGGATCTAAAAATCGGCTATTATCCGATAATCAGTTCTTAGTATCCTGTATATAGAATCATGAACGCATCACTTCAAGTGCTAGTACGACACAAGGAGAATATATATAGAGTTGCTAGATCAAAAAAATTTAGAGGTGGTAGTAGTTACATTAGCAAGTGGGTTCAAACCAATTTAAAATTAAACAAAGCTTCTATGCATTGAAAGTTACCCAATACTACTATGAATTGGGAAGATTTAAAGAAAAATAAGGTCTTCAGAATATTTTATGAAATATGGAGGTTTCTTGTTAAGCAATGGTTTTTTGTATTCTTAGGTGTCTTCATTGGACTTGCATATCGCTTTCCACAGTTTGCTAAACAGGGAGGAATGATAAAAGCAGAGTATAGTATTGAATATGGTGCTGTAGCAGTGATATTCTTGATTAGTGGTCTTTCAATGCCTTCCAAAGAGCTATTTGCGAATATTTTACACTGGAGAGCACATTTCACAGTCCTTTCTATGTCATTTCTCATCACGAGTTCCATAATATATGGAATTGTATGCGGAATCAAAGCTTCAAAGAACACGAACATAAACGACTGGGCATTGGTTGGTATGATAGTTACTTTTTGCTGTCCCACCACAGTGTCATCTAATGTCGTTATGACGAAACAGGCAGACGGAAATGACGTTTTGACATTATGCGAGGTCTTTTTAGGGAATGTTTTAGGTGCTTTCATTACTCCGGCCTTAGTACAGATGTATGCGAGGGGAGAATGGGAGTTCGGAAACCCTACTCATCAGGCGGATGGAGACGGTAACGTTAAAGATTTGTACCGACAGGTGATGAAGCAACTTGGTTTATCTGTTTTTGTCCCCTTGTTTGTTGGTCAGGTGGCTCAAAATGTATTTCCCAAATTTGTTAAGAAATTTGTATCAATGTTCAAACTTGGGAAAATCGGTTCCTTCATGTTGTTATTGATTATGTATCAATCATTTTCAACAGCATTTGCTCAAAATGCTTTCGAGGACGTTTCTCATGCCACTATTATATTTATTGTGTTTTTCAATATTGGCATTTATTTATTTTTTACAGTTCTTTGCTATGCATACTCCAGGCCAATTTTCATTAAAAGAGCATTTGAAATACCTCCTGATGAGAACTCTACAATGTTATACAAGTTCGGATATAATAATTTGAGGAGTTTTTATTACAACAAAAGAGATACAGTTGCGGTCATGCTCTGTGGACCTGCCAAAACAGCAGCTTTGGGAGTTTCTTTAATTTCTTCTCAATACGGATCAAACAATCCAAAGCTAGGTATCCTTTTGGTACCTCTTGTTTTATTTCAGGCTGAACAGGTGGTCACAGCTCAGGTTTTAGTCGTTTTTATGAAGAAATGGGTACATCTGGATGATCCCAAATCTGATGAAGAAGCACCTGATGAAGCTAGTGCTGGATCAAATAATGCAGATAACGAAGAATACGATAATGACTACGATGACGATGGATTTGCACCAGCACATTCAGATGAGGATGAAAGTCTGACCACTGCTGGACTGATTACTGCTGGCATCCGCAAAGCAGAAAATATTTTCCGTCTGATCTCGTCTTCGTCGGAACCCACTAAAACTCAACCTGATTAGATTTTATAGAAGACTAAGTTAATACATACCATTATCACATATTGCTCATGCACACGCTGTATATAATAATTTGCCGGCTACAAAAATTAAGCAAGATGCCGTCCTAATAATGGACTTCATTCCATGATTATTTTGAATAATGAACCGTTGGTGTCGGTCGTTCCTTTGTGAAAACCCCTTGCCTCGTGTAGAAGTTCCTACATGATTGGTGAAGATGAATAATTGAATTAGCTGCAAAATGTTTGGCCATACTTAGTTATTGCCTTCTGATTACCTAATTGTTTGTGAGTTTTCCGATATCAACGAGAAGATTGCCATTGATAAGGAATAATATCTAGCAGCTGAATCCTTGATAGGAATGGAAACAAATAACCACCATCGTGTTCCACATCCAACTGTCTCCTGAGTATTGATGGGATTTGCCGGCGATAAAGGTGCACAAGAATCTGATTTATACATTTCCAGTACACTATCATTTCCGACCTTTCCATGCATATTCTTCTGCATTTTCAATAGCAAACCTCTCATCTGTAAATTAATGCACCCCATCCTCAAAATGAGAAAGCTTAGTTAATAGATGCACCTTTTACAGTTTTGCTAACTATTGCTGCAAAAACTGGTGGGATGCAACAATCGACCTTTTAGTCAGTAATATATATTAGGAGCTATAATACAATAAATTCACAAGCCAGTTATCAAGCGTAGCATGGACCAGATTTGGCAAGCCATACCATGAGGTGAGGAGAGGGTTTATTTTAGATACTATAGATTCTTCAAACAAGACTGACTACATTCTTCAAAAACGTTGTGCGGCGCACTATAAATCTATACTAATTTTATTTTTGTGCTCATATAGATTTCGTTAACAGTACTCTCAGTATCTCCATATACAACTCCACTTTCCCCACTGATTTATGGAAGGTGCATACTATCACCCCGCCTCTTTTTATAAAAAAAATTGTTAGAATGCCCAATTCTCACTCATGTCAAGCTAAAGAAGGTGTGCTCATTAGTACCACGTACTTGGTTTCATTGATGAAGTTTAAATCATATAAACTCAAGCAAGCTTGAGTCAATGGAATTTCCATTTCATTAGATTTACAACCTTGGTGTTAAGAGAGATATCCCTTTTCTCACGGCGTGTTTTGCATTTTCCCGATACTTTTTGCGATGCTGGATGCTATATTTAAAGGTGCCAGCTTCTCTCGAATAATTCTCATCGACGGCTCAATTCATAAAGCATAAATGATTTTAGTAACCCTTATTTGCTTGATTCGTTTGATTTCTGCCTTTGAAAATGGCTTGGGAAAGAAGCCGCAAATGGGATGGAATTCATGGAACAAATTTGGATGTGATATCAACGAAACGGTTATTTTGGGCACTGCCCAGAAGATGAAGGAGCTTGGCCTTTTAGACTATGGATACGAGTATATTGTTATGGACGATTGTTACGCATTGAAAGAGCGAGATCCAACCACACATAAACTTTTAGCAGACCCAGGAAAATTTCCAAATGGTATACGTAACCTTTCTAACCAAATTCACCGTCTTGGCTTTAAGTTTGGTATGTATTCTTCAGCTGGAAGATACACATGCGCTGGATACCCTGGATCGTTGCACTATGAGCAAATAGACGCTGAAACTTTCGCTCATGACTGGGAGATTGACTACTTAAAGTATGATAATTGCTTCAATGAAGGCAATAGTGGAACGCCTCAAATTAGCTATCAGAGATACGATGTCATGTCTAAGGCTCTCATCAACACAGGAAGGCCAATATTCTATTCTTTGTGTCAATGGGGCGAGGATCAGGTTTGGGACTGGGGTTCCACCCTTGCAAATTCATGGCGTATCAGTGGAGACATTTATGACAATTTCGATCGCTACGACGATAGGTGCCCATGCGAAACGTATAATTGTCCAGCTATGCAAGGGCAAATGTGTTCGATGACTAATATCTTAGAGAAGGCTATACCATTGGGCCAAAGAGCCAGCAAATTTCTGGGATGGAATGATTTAGACAGCTTGGAAGTTGGAAATGGTGGCATGTCCACCGACGAGTACAAAGCTCATTTTACTTTGTGGGCAATTCTCAAAAGTCCTTTGGTCTTAGGTAATGATGTGGCTCATATGAGCAAGGAGGACTTAGCTATTGTTACAAATAGAGCTATAATTGCAATCAATCAAGACGATTCTGTTCCGGCATCTCGTGTTTGGAAGAAGACAGTTGATGGGGGATTTCTTCACTTGTTTACAAATACAATGGGAGATGGGTCTTTTGTAGTTACCTTATTCAACAGTGGTGATACGGTGAATAATACCGTTTTACTCTTCAGTGATATTTTTGTTGATGATAGAACGAATGCTGCTAAGTCTTATAACTTCACTGAATTGTGGTCAAATGAAACTATAACGGCGACGGAGATGCTCACCACCTCCATACAATCGCACTCGGTCAAAATTTGGTGGTTAGACTGTCCTACGAAATATTTTGACGGTGGAACCTCGATGTACCCTCTACATGATGAGCTATAATCGCAAGATAACTGTCCTTCTTTCGTTGCAGCACTCCAACAGGGCCGTTAAAGTGTGCCTTAAACTTCGCAATCATTGTCTTGAGAAAAAGCATAGATGGAATCTGAAGACACAAGGGTTCGAGACGTTGAGTTGCTAGACTCTGCAATTTATCTTTTAATGTATATTTACACCACCAATAAGAGCTATATAATTATACTATATAAGGCTAAGCGACGTACTGATAATCCACAATACTAATTAGTTATGTGCTTCAGAGCGCAAACTCGAATATAATTGAAATTTAGCACATGTAGACTCAGGGTCGTTGGCCCTTTTGGAAATGTATTAAGGCAGTAGCAGCATCCACTAAGAGTTGAGCCTGAGATAAATATTTCGTTAAAGTGGACAATCTACTTCAACATACGGCGGTTAATAGACTACAATTTGGCAAAGTGAAAGCTATTTCATTAGAGCTAAAACCTTGGTTAACTATTAACAAAAGTAAGTAATTTAAAATGCAACATTCTAGCTGAACAAGTAAAGAATCTTTTCTTTAGTCGTCTTTGGAATCTCCTTTTTCTCCTTGTCGGGGTTGGTTGGGTCTTTTCCATGTTGATCTTCGACAGCGTTATGTGTGTCGCCCAAGTAATAATTGGTCTGCATGAAACTCAAGAAAATATTGATGAATTCCAACGCAATTGGAGGAGCAAAGAAGTACGGAGCAACATATGCCATTGCCTTGATTGTGCCTTGCCTAACCTCACTGTTGAAGGGTAACGCTCTCACGGAGCTCATATCAGTATAATAAGCATAAACTTCCTCATCTGTGTACGTTTTTGGAATAAATTCTCTCATGTAGTTTGGTATTTTTGAAGACCAGATAGGTGCAGAGATAGCATATCCTATTGCACTACCAACTGTAGACCAAAGAAGTAACAATGCCATGACCAACGACATGTCTTGGTGAGGAACAGATGCCTGGGAAGAGATGACAGTACCAACAGAATTGTATGCGGAACCGACACCCATCAACACCTGACACATGACGAAAGATCCAGTGTCCGCCATAGTTCCTTGTGCTCTGAGGGGAATGCAGTAAGCGATGAGTCTAAAGAATATACCCATGGTATTCAACCACTTGTAACGATGAGCAATTCTGAAATGTATGCCGGCAACAACACCAAAGAAACATAAAGATACAGTCAAAGTATTATTGAAGTAAGTCCAATTTTTGTCGGACCAGTCTTTCGCAACATACAAGATAGTAGATAAGTATTGTGATCTAATTCCATCTGCCAACAAATAGATAATATTGATGAGAACAGCCGTAATGAAGGTCTTGTTGAAGACAATTCTTCTTGGCATGGAGGGAAATGGAGCCCAAAATATCTCATAGGCAGCATAGATGATCAACAATACAGGTCCAACGACAAGCATAGCGATCATACTTGGGTTCTTCCAGCCATTCTCAGCATAGTCGTACAAAGAGAACGGTAACAAAAATAAAGACCAGCCGAAACCCATGAGTACCAATCCGAAGGCATCTATTTCAATTGCAGACGTCCAGACTATTTGCCAGAAAGTCTTCTTGGGTTTCACAACTTTAGGTACGATTTTTTGAGCTTGACGCTCGAAGTAATATAAAACTCCAACAGCTGGAAGTACGACCACGGGCATAATGATAGCAAACATACCATAACCCCATCTCCAGTTGCGCTTCAAAATAGCTTCAACAATTAAACCCGAAAACCAGACGTTTATAATATAAGGAGAGGTCATAAGAGCATTAACAACACCTCTCCATTTCAAGACGGTCAAATCTGCAACAATGACGTCTCTTAAAAAGGAAATACCGTTAGAACCCACAGCTGTTAATACAGAACCGACCACATAGGCGCTTATAGTCGAAGACGAAGCAGCGACGATAGTACCCAATGTGTAAAAGGCTAAAGAGAGTGCAAAACAAAGTGGTCTAGAGGTGATATCGGAGAACTTGGCTTGGAAAGGCTGCACAACCGACCCAATGATCAGGCTTGCAATGTTGACAGTAGAAATCATCGAATGTCTGCTGAAACTAGAGGCAGCAGGGATAGCATAATTATAAGTGGTTGAGGCATCCAATGAGTAAACCCAAGCGATAACCAAAAGACACGTACAAAAAGAAACGATGACTAACCTACCGTTTTTAGCAGTGTACATCATGGTTCTGACATTTTCAATTCGTCTTACGCCTCTAGACTTTTCGAACTCAGTTGAAACCTGGGAATTGAGTACCTGTAGCTCATTTGAATCACCGTCAGACTCTTGAACTGCCTTCTCCGAAAGGGATGGAACTTTTTCACCCTCCTCGATGTCACTGTTATGAGAGATAGCGGGTTCTGCGACTTCGTTCGAAATCTGTTGATCCTTTTCCTCAGACATTTTACGATACAGCATCAAAAGTTGGAATCGAAGCAGCACAGGATCATCTTTATAGGCAACATTATTTGGAATACACATGTACAGTTATACGCATCACTAACCGATTTCGGACAATAGTTATGCACTTCGGAACTTGCAGGATAGAAGAATAATAGCCATTAAGCTTTGATCAAACCTCATTACGTGAAAAGCATAATTGTTGGCACGACAGGTGTATCTCTTAGCAATTATTTTCTTGTGATTCACGAGCAGGTACTACGCTTTTGATTGTTGGCATTTCCAAATAACATGGCCAAGGATCACAGGGCGCGCTAGTTGTGACTTTTGTAGTTGTGAGCTGCTCTACAGCTCAGCGGAATCCCCTGTACCACTTTTTTTGTCTGCATTCAGCAATGCGTGTTGCAATAAAAGCCGCATCATTATGCGCGAAGATTAAACTGATAATTTTGCCTTTTACCACATGCATTGATTTCCACTTTTGTATAAGCTTAATAAGATCTTTCTTATAAGCGAAATATATTGCGAAGGTAGGTTCAAAAGCAAATCACGAAGCAAAGATGATGGCTTGATAAAATGTAGTGCTGAAAACTGAGCTAAACCTTTCCATCATTTCCATCCTTTCCATCTCGTTAAAGTGAATGTATAAGGAAGTGTCAGAACTTTGAGCCACCGATTATTCAGTGACAGTTTCGCTATGCCAAGCTTTCACGCCTTAATATTAGCGACTATTATAATTGGATGCGGCTAAATTAAAAGGCTCCCAACATGCTCACGCCAATTGGTGTATGAAACAGACATATTCTAAGAGGAACAAACTTTAATAAGGATTCCAGCGAGTTAAAAAAACAAAGAGTATTTGCCTTGTATTAGACATATTTTGCGAGAGAATGGTTTCAATTGAAACCACTATGAATTTTTTTTTTTGACATTTCTAACGTTTCGAGCGCATTCCATTAGATGCCTTTGTTGATGCAAATGTAGACTCCAATTTTGATCTTGGCAATTTACTCATGCACGAAAATACCTCGTAAAGTTATTAGATCTGATTTATTGGTTAATCTATATTGACCTCATTCAAGGTGGAAGTTGCACACACGACAAGCGATTGGAAACTCAGTAATAAATATTGGCGCATTTCCGAATGCTGAATGAGGTCAAGTAAGCATTTTGACAATAATAATGATATCGAACACTCATAAAGGATAGACTCGAACAATCTTGGAATAAAAAGAAGGAATGATTCGTTCACTCTGATGGTGTGATGGACGGATATATTCAAAAGCTGGTTTCTGGGCCATTTTGGGAGGACCTT